TCTCTGTGTGTGTGTGTGTGTGTGTGTGTGTGTGTGTGTGTGTGTGGTGTGAATGTGTGGTGTATATTTGTGCTTGTGAATGTGGAGGCCCAAGGTCAACAATGAGAGTCTTCCTTGATCATTATTTACCTTATTCATTGAGGCAGAGTCTCTCAGTTGACCCCAGAGAGTGCTGACAGGGTTAGACTAGTTGGGCAGTTGTGTACTGGGATTCTGTCTCTTCTGAAATTATAGCTCCCCTCCCCCACCCCAGCCCACACCGGTGGGAATCTGGACTTACAGCCCCACCTACTGGTAGTAATCTGGAATTACAGAGGTCTGCCACACTGGTGGAAATCGGGAATTACAGCTGCCCCGAGGTTCTGGAATTGCAGTTCCCCCAACACTGGAGGGGATCTGAAATTACAGGGGTCTGTCACACTGGAGTGGATCTGGAATCTGATCCTCATACTCGCAAGGCGATGCCACCTCCCCGAAGTGATCCATCCCCCGTTCTTGGATGTTCTTAGCAGTGTTGGCTTTGTCATCGTGATGGTTATGAACTCTCAGAATGACTAATTTTGACACTATGAGCAGCAGTGGCAAATAGATACACCCAGAATTTGAAAAAAAAATCACTTATTTGTGTGGGTTCATTGAGCATTAAGATCACAATGTATTCCGTCTGAATTGACACAATTTTGGTTACCTGAGAATACTGATCTACTTCAAGGAAGTGTTAACATATTTTACATAACTGTAATTTCCCCACATTGTGAAGCCCTTTAACTCAAGGCCTAGCAATGTACTTTCAGTTTAATTATAGCAAAAACTAAAGATGTGTTACTCCAAAGAAAGCCTAAGTGTAATGGTTCTTAAAGATCGCAAAAAGTGATGCATTTGACCCTCAATTATGTCCTTTTCTTACTAGTTATATTGGTTTGGAAATATTGAACTTAGTAACTTTATAAGCTGATGCCCCTAAGACAGCGGTTCTCAACCTGTGGGTTGTGATCCTTTTGGGGGTCACATATCAGATAGCCTACATATCAGATATTTACATTAGATTCATAACAGTAGCAAAATTACAGTTTGAAGCAGCAATGAAATAATTATATGATTGGGCGTCACCACAACATTTAACTGTATTAAAGGGTTGCAGCATTAGGAAGGTTGAGAACCACTGCTCTAAGGGATGAAAAATGATGCAAATTCAGTGCCAAGCAATGTCTCACTTTTACTTATTGATTTTTGGTTTTTTGAGACAGGGTTTCTTTGTGTAGCCCTGGCTGTCCTGGAACTCACTCTGTAGACCAGGCTGGCCTGGAACTCACAGAGATCCGCCTGCCTCTGCCTCCTGAGTGCTGGGAATAAAGGTGTGCACCACCATTGGCTGTCTTCACTTTTCTTTTTAAAGGAAATACAGAATATGGATGAATATGAAATAAAATAAAAATCAAGTAGTTCATCAAGTAGACTGTACTTCTTTTTTGTTTCTTTTTTTAGTGTGTATACATGTGTTATATGTAAGTACACGTGTGTGTGCATAAGTACATGTGGGTGTGCACATGTAGGTGCATGCATGTGTGTATAGGCCACAGGTTAAAACTGAGTAGCTTCCTCTATTCTCCTCTATCTTACTTTTTGAGGTAGGGTCTTTCATTGAACATGGGTTCATGAATTTGGCTAGATTGTCTGGCCAATGAGCTCCAGAAATCTGCGTGTCTCTGCCCATCTCAGAGCTGGAATTTCAAATGGAACCACTGTATCTGGTTTTTACATGGTGTTGGGATCTGAATTTAAATCTTCATACTTGCACAACAGGCATGTTATTAACTGAGACATTGTCCCAGCACCCTCCCCACTTTAACAACAAAACAGCAAAAAAAAAACCCAACCAGGTTGGCCTTGAACTCACAAGGATCCTTGTGCTTCTGCCTCCTGAGTGCTGGGAAAAGGCCTGAGCCACTATGCTCTGTTTAAGATTATATTTCTGACTTATGTTTTGTTTTCATTACTTTTTAGATTATGCTAAATAACACCTTACTTACTGTAGTGGACAAAGTTGTAGTTTTGTTATAAACTTGAAGAATGGATAGAGACTCATAGCTTTCTCGATTTCCTAATTTGTAAAATAATAATCCAGACATCAAAGGTAGGGCCACACAGTTGAGGAAGTGAAATAAACAGGAAAAGATTGAAGTTATTTACCCATAGAAGAGCCTTTAGGGAGAAATCTGTCTTCTAGAATAAGAGACGCAGGAGAAGAATGAAGGGGATGGCTGGGGCTTAATCCCCATCACTTCTACGTATGTGCCTTGAGGAAGGAGTTGTGTAAAATACAGCAGCATGGATTCCACCACATGCAGAAATGTGGATCCTGAAGAATGAGAGCTGGCCACTTTATCCGACTGCCCAATATGAGCTCTGTATCCCACCTATGAGGATGTGAATGTATGGAGCAGAGTTTGTGAGTATGTGTGCTCATTCTGCAGACACCTATTGACTTCCACTGCACGCCGCACACGCGGTCAGGTGTATTCGGCATTTTAAAGCCCTGGCCCTTCTGCCTGGAGTCAAAGAACTTCTAATATCTGCCTCTCACTGTCCCTAGTCATTCTCCTGGCACACATCTTTCTGCACGGAAGGCTGATCTTTCCCTTTCAATTTTGTCTTTGTCTCCACACTGCTATCTCATCCCTCTGGCTTTCTTCTCAGTTTTATCCCCGACTTTGTAGCCTTCTAGTCACTTTCTTTGGGAATGTAACCCTGTCCCCATCCATCCTGCTCCCTACGTCACAAAGAAACATGCAGATGTAACATCCTGTAAATCCTACCTGTGCCATGGCGAGTGAGTAGTACAGCCCCTGCTTGGCCATCAGTTCAGCGTGGGTCCCCTTCTCTGCCACCATGCCATCCTTCATAGTCACAATCATATCTGCTCCACGAATAGTGGAAAGCCGATGTGCAACCACAATTGTCGTCCGACCTTTGCTCGCCTGCCAGACAGAAGACATGGGAAGTAAACAGAAGAGTGTTAGAATTAACCTCTGCAATAGTCAGGACAACTTATTTTTACAGTATTATTTTACCAGGAATCTTATCCTGGGATATAGAAAATCAGAATATTTAGCAGACTAGAAATGGCAGTAGAAATTAGAATATAAAAAAGTAATTTATTCCCAATGTGTTTTTTTTTAAATAAAAACTGTAGCATAGTACTAGAAAGAAACCTAACAATTTTTAGTTTGTCTAACCATAGAGCAAAAGGGATCTAAGATTTAAACTCACTGTCATCTCTCAATTGAGCATGTTCTTTAACAAGTTATGGCAGACTCAAGGTAAACTTTGTTTTAAAACAATCATAAGTACGTAGAAAGGTGCACATGGGGCATTGGTAGATGCATTTCAAACTGAATCCATCAGATCACACGGGCAGGCCGCTACCAGCACCTGGACGCCATCACTTGCCTTTGGTCACTGCCACTGCTTATGCACCAAAGGAGACCACTGTCTAATTCCCAGTACCTCTCCCTCTCCCTCCCCCTCCCCCTCCCCCTCCCTCCCTCCCTCCCTCCCTCCCTCCCTCTCTATTTATGTAATGGAATCTGTAGTCTATACTCTTATGTGTCTGAGTCTTGGTGTTCAATATTATGTTTTCGAGACGAACCATTTTGTTTCCCATATCTACACAGTATTTTACTGTTCAGGTATAATTTATCCATTCTTCTGCTAACTGGGTTTGAGTTGTCTTTAGTTTTTTTTTTTTTTATAATGTATAGATTCTTGCATGTGTTTATTTAGTGAACAAATTTATAAAGATCTATCATTTGTACACCTCAAAAGGGACTGCTGAGGCATAGGGCGTCCAGTCTATAGAGCCCCTAAAGCAGGAGAGTCCAGGCAGCATTCTATTTACACTAACAGTGGGTTGAATTCCTTTTGTCTGATGGATGAGTACTATTACATCGAAACCTTTATTTATGTTTTCCTAATGGCTAATGAAGTTGAACAACTTTTCAATTGGTTAGTGAAATATGAATGCTCTGTTTTGTGATTGGCCCAAATCTTTTGCCCATTTTTCTTTGGGAGCCATCTTTTTCTTTCTAATTATCAGGAGCTATTCACATAGTCTAGTTTTGGGGACTTTGTGAGAAGCTGTGTATTATTATAACTATTTCTTTCATGTATGTGGTTGTCTTCTCACTCTCTAAAAGCTGTCTTCCAATGACTAGGAACTTCCTATTTTAATGATGTCCAATTTAGTGACTCATCTCTTTTCTAATTGTGTCTTTTGAGTCCTATTTCAGAAATATTACCCTCTGTCACATACAGATGTTTTTCTGTTTTATCCTCCAGTTTTTACTATTGTGCCTTTCATGTTTAAACCTTTAATTCACCTGGAATTGATTTTTGTGCATGATGTCATTGTTAGCCTTTAATTAAATGAGTGTTCTAGTGGCCCTGCTGTAAGTAAGGTGAGATTATTCCAGGTATGTTTTTGTATTGTGCATTATTCTGTCGTCCAGGGCACCTGTCACTACACCACTGATACTCTGTGCTAACTGGCATAAAATTGAAATAGTTTTGTGATCTAGTAGTTTGAGCCTTTCAGCTTTGCTCTCCTCCATATGGTTGCACTTGCCAACCTTGAGCTATGCATTTTCCATCGAAGCCCAGCGCAGTAGCAGGCATACGACTGTCAGCATCACTGTTCATGCTACTACTATATCACAGGTATTTAATTTTCTTATTCCCAATTCTAGTATTATTCACTTCAGAAAAGGAAACTGGAACTCTGGACACCAAGAAACTTGTCCCCATTCTTTGCCTGCACCGGGAGGGTGGTGCTAGGCTCTGATGAAATTGCCTCCTCTCTCTGTGAAGGTCTCTCTATTGCAATGGATATGCTTACTGAGGTGAATGAGGTTTCTTTCAAAGTCTTGCAGTTCCAGTCTATCAGAAAAGGAAACTCCTCAAAACATTAGTGATTCATAATCAAAACTAATGAAATTATGATATAATGCTACATGGAAAATGCAGGGGAAAGCTGATGCATCTTGTTATGAGTATGTTTAAAATCTGTCTGTAGGAAAAAAAGGACTAAATAGGATATATCAAAATATTAATAGTGCATGCATTTAACTATTGAGCCCATGAGTTGTAATTTTCTTAATTTTCACAATTTCATAAAATGTGAACATATTATACTTTTGCTTAAAGTGTTGGAATAATTAGGGGAGCATGTTCTCTGTCTGAAAGGTTGTGTTCCCATGGTAATCTCTGCAGGCATATGTATGAGCAGAAGCTATTGTGAAGAGCTGAAAATAGTTACTTGGTGTGAGTAAAGGTCTTTTGTCTCAAAGCATCTTATTATTTCTTGAAGAAATGACTATTGTGATACATTTAATGTATTACTACCCAGGGCTACTCGTAAGGTGAAGGGCAAGCCTGAAAAGGCTTCAACATGACTGTTGTTTATGTGAGAGAAACCAGTGGGCAGAGATGAAGACTGGGAGCCTCTACCATCACCAAGCCTAAAATGTAAGACAGCATCTGTGAAAAAGCTGGGATATGCAAATAAGCAAGAAAGCCCATGCTAGGTCTTCCGAGCATATGGCCCTTGCATTAACTCTTCTCTCAGCTCTGGCCGGCTTCCTCCCCGGGAAATGTATTTTTTCTTGATAAACTACTTCTGTTTCTACTACTATCCTCTTGTCCCTGTCCAACCCGTTGTCCCAGTATGGTGATATTTTATTTGTACTGAAATGTGATTTTAATTTTATGTTAATAAATAAAGTTGCCCTGGGGTCAGAGCTATTAGAGCCATAGCAAGAGCATGGTGGTTAGAAGAGCTAGGTAGATTTCTGTGTGTTCAGGGATACAGCCAGTATTGGAGACATACGCCTTTAAGACCTGGAGGGCGGTACTTACAGGCAGTGATGAGGCAGTCATGTGGTTGGGTTTAGAACCAATGAGAAGGCAAAACAGAAAGACTATTTAAACACAGACAAACAGGAAGTAGCTCTCTCTCGGGGAAGCTAGGAGCACTGCAGGAGGTAAGATTTTATCTCTGAGCTCTGACCTCTCGGCTTTCTCTTTTACATTGGCTCTGTGTTTCTTATTTTAAAAAGATGATTGGTTACATCTACATCCCAGGACACAGGAACCTGAAATCCCAGAGGCTGCCCACTGAAGCCAATATCTCTTGATATCACTAGGACATTCTTAAGTGAGAAAAAAGGGGGAGACTAGAACTTTTGGACAGTAGGAAGATGGAGGTTATGCAGTTATAACTTCAGAACAGTAGAGTTTATGCTCTTGGATCTGGAGCATTAAAGAGCAGTCACAGTTAACACCCATGTCTCAGATGACAACAGGGTGTCCTTCTGGGATTTGATTTTTACAATTACATAGGAAAATAAAACTGGGCAGGAGACCTGTATTCAAAGCCAGCCTTTTGCATTAAGCAGATTTTTTTTTATTAGTTTTAACTCTAAAATATGCTAAAATATCTGTGAATGTCATATATGTGCATATATATTCAGACACGTGTGTGTGCTCACACCATGGTGTGTATATGGAGGTCAGAGGACAACTTCCCCAGGATCAAACTCAGATCATCAGGTTTGGCAGTTCGGCCTTTTCCTAATCAAGCCATTCTCACTGACCCCATATTCACACATCTGCTAAGAATGTACACACATATATAGGTAGTCCATAAACATACATATATATGTATACACACATATGATTGTATCTGTATATACATGTGTGTATAAGTACATGCACATTTTATATCAGCCAATCCAGCTAGGAAAGCATAATGTAATAATTTGGGTTAGTAATGAGGAATGAAATGTCCCATTCGAAGTGAGGCTAGGTCACTGAATGGTGTCAAAGTCATTCTAAAGTTTCTCACAGTTCCCAGTACTATTGAGGAAGATAACTAGAAGTCAGTGCTTTGCTACTTTAAGTGACATTGTGTTAATGTGAATACCCTTGGGAGGCATTAAGGAAGAAAAATGACTAGAGAAGGGAAGAGTCCCATCAATGTGAATGGAAGGAGCAAAGACTCCCACTACAGTTTCTGTGATGGGGGGTGTTACTGCTATGAGAAGATGAGACCTTTGGAATGGAATGGTGTACAGGATTAATGGCTTGCATAGTGTGTGTGTGTGTGTGTGTGTGTGTGTGTGTGTGTGTGTACTTAATGTCAACCATATCATTTACTTTCCCAAGTCATACCCTGCATCCATACCAGAGGAACTCTGGGAACTACTAGCTGGTATCCAAAGAACCCCAAATCTGTACTTTCTTGCACTTTTAAACAACAGGGAACCAGGAGTGTGGGACTCAGAAAAGATTCTGTGCACTTACCTTCTCCAGCGCAGTTTGAACAACTAACTCACTCTCTGTGTCCAGGGCAGATGTGGCCTCGTCTAAGATCAGAATTTTGGGGTTTCGAACTAGCGCTCGAGCAATGGCGATTCTCTGTTTCTGGCCTCCGCTCATTTGAGCTCCTTTTTCCCCCACTAGTGTATTAAATTTCTAATGACACAGAGAGGAAAAAGCACAAATATGGAGGTGTGATTAAATGATCAGAAGAGGAATGACAAGCACGTTTGTGTTCTTTTGTTTTGATTTGTTTTGGTTTTTTGAGACAGGGTTTCTCTGTGTAGCTTTGTGTCTTTCCTGGAACTCACTTGGTAGCCCAGGCTGGCCTCAAACTCACAGAATTCCGCCTGCCTCTGCCTCCCGAGTGCTGGGATTAAAGGCTTGTGCCACCACCACCCAGCACATTTGTGTTCTGATGGCAGCTTAACGACCACTTGAGCCTGGCCATTCAGAATCTTCGATTTGATCATTGTAAAAACAAACACCTCTGGGAAAAGGTCCTGGCAAACACAATACAGAAAGGTAAATTAGGGCCAAACCAGATAAACAGAACAAGGATTCCTAGAAAAATTCTTAATTGGAGGGAATTTTCAAATCTCTTTTAGATGACCTCAGAATACTTTAAAAAAACCGATGAAGCATTTACTGTAATATAAGTGTTTGTGGGAAATTTGATAGGCTGTCTATACTTTTCCTCTTGGAGGCTCTGAAAAGTAGTAATTAAAAAAATGAATGCCACTTATCAGGGTGTGGTGATGCCCACATGTAAGCCTAGTGCTGAGGAGTCTCAGGTAGGGTAATCAGGAGTTCAAGGCCGTTCTCAACTGCATATCAAATTCAAAGCCAATCTAGGCTACAGGAGAACCTGCCTTAAAAACAACCAAAGGCCAGGCATGGTGGACTATGGTTTAAATTCCACACTCAGGAGGCAGAGACAGGTGGGTCTCTGTGAGTTCAAGGCCAGTCTGGTCTACAGAGTGAGTTCCAGGACAGGAAGGGCTCTGTAGAGAGACCCTGTCTCAAAAAACAAAACAAAACAAAGCAAACATACAAACTGAACTGTTGCTGGAGAGCTTCTCTCCAGGTTCCCCAAGCCCCGCAGTCCCACAATCCACTTATAAAATAATCACTCAGATGCTTGTATCACTTATAAACTGTATGGCCGTGGCAGGCTTCTTGTTAACTGTTCTTATATCTTAAATTAACCATTTCCATAAATCTATACCTTGCCACGTGGCTGGTGGCTTACCGGCTTCTTTACATGCTCTTCTCCTGGCGGTGGCTGCAGTGTCTCTCCCCCCTTCTTCCTGTTTCCCCAATTCTCCTCTCTCTTTGTCCCGCCTATACTTCCTGCCTGGTCACTGGCCATCAGTGTTTTATTTACATAGAGTAATATCCACAGCACTGAACCAAACAAACAGAACCAAAATTTACCACAACTTCTTTTTTAAAAGCTGTATTTTTTCCTAAAAACATTTTTCAGTCTTGGGAAAAATTTAAGGCCCTTTCTATTTATTTATTTCTTGATAAATTCATTTTTAACAAATTGAATATTATTTTATTATAGTGGGATGACTTCTAGTGTTTGTGACCCATAATAGTCATATTCTGTTGGGTTATGGCACATATTTCAACAAGGATAGAAGTTGAAATATTCTTTCTAAACATTTAATTTCTAGAAACTTTTTTTCTAAAAAAAAAAATGTCAGCCTTGGGGCTGGAATATGGCTCAGTGGTTAAGAGTACTAGCTGCTTTTGTAGAGGACACACGTTTGGTTCCCAGCATCCACATGGTTTTTTACAATCACCTGTAACTCTAGTTCTCAAGGATCTGATGCCCTCTCCTGCCCTCCATGGGCACAGCACACAGGTAATACACAGAAATACTCAGGCAAACACTTATATACATAAAAACAATCTTAAAAAGGATGAAAGATTTCTAAAAAAAAAAAAAAAGTCTTATGGTAGACGAATTTATGCACAGTTTTGATAGATGCAGTCCTGTTGTTTTAGCAATCAAGTTACTGCAGTATGTCACCGCCACCAGTTATGGCACTATGACCTACAAAAATCTCAAGATCCCTTTCAGTCCAAACCTGACCTTGCTTCAAAATATTCACATTTGATTTTGACAGTGCAGATTTCTTTACGTGTTTTTGACAGTATCTAGTGCAGCCCAGGATGACCTCACATTTGCTGTGCAGCCCTGGATGACCTGGTACTGTTTTTGTGTCTCTCTTCCTACCTTCACATCCCAAGTGCTGGGATTACAAGCATGGGCCATTAATGTCTGGATTTATATGGTGTTTGGAATTGAACCCAGGGCTTCTTGCATGCTAGGAAAACTAGTGTGGTGGTGGTGTGGGTTTTGTTTCTGTTTTTGTTTTTTTACATTTTTTCCTTTGGTAATTTCATACATATATACAATGTATTTAGATTATGTCTACCCTCTGGGACCTCACTCCATCCAACTCACAATTCCTCCTGGACTCCCTCTGGGTTCAGTTCCCAACTTCAAGCCCCTGTGTCCTGCACCTGGTCAGGTAGAGGTATTCAGAACATGTTCTTGTACCTTGTGTCTAGCCTTTTCATTTTCTAAATGGTGGTTTTTAAAAGAGGGTTTTAATTTAATTTTTACATCTTTCTTTTTTTGTTTTTTTTTTTCTTTCCTCTTCTGGGGATGAGCTCAGGGCCTTGTATATGGTAGGCAAATACTCCACACTGAGTTACATGCTCAGCCTTTAGTTTCAGTTCTTTTTATAGTATTTTAAGGAAAATTTCATACATACATACAATGTATCTTGATCATATCCTCACTCCTCTTTTGAGACATTGTCTTATCATCCAGCTCAGGCTTCTCAATCTTGACCTTCTCCTGCCACTGCCTCTAGATCACACACACTTGGCCAGTTTACTATTTCTTTTTTAAGATTTATTTTTTTTAATCTTTATCTGTGTGTGTTCAGTGTGTGTGTGTGTGTGTGTGTGTGTGTGTGTGTGTGTGTGTACCTAGAGAGGCCAGAAGAGGGTGTCTGGTTCCCTGGTACTAGAATTACTGGTGGTTGTGAACTGTCTAATATGTGTGCTGGGAGCCAAACGTGGGTCTTCTGGAAGAGCAGCAAGTGTCATTCACTGTTGAACTATCTCTGTCCCCCATTTTACCACTTTAAAAATTAGTACATAGCTTCCTAAGAACTCTTTGCTTATCTTAATATTATGATTTTCTTCTTTCTCCTAAGGGATTACCGAATTAATTATTCTTTTGAGACTGTCTTACTATATAGCTCAGTTGGTCTTGTACTTGTTAGGTAGTGTGGGCTAGCCTCCAAATGGTGATCCTCCTGCCTCAGCCTACCAAGTGTTTTTCTAAATTTTTATTTTTGAAATCCAAGCTAATATTTTGCTCTAAGACAAAATAATTTTTGTCTGTGGTATAATGCAAAAACCACAGTTCATTGGATGTCTTGTTCCAGGACCATTTGCAAATTTTTTTTTCATCTGCTTAATTCTATTACACTTGTTAAAAATTGACACGTGGCCCATTTCTGGAGTCTTTGCCCTGATGCTCTACATATCCGCTTTCATTCCTCTACTGCTGTATTGTTGGTGTCTTGAACTAGATGTTGTGAGTGTGTGCCAGCTTTGTTGATCTGTTTTTAAAGCTGCTTTGTCTATTCTCATTTTGATTTTATAAATAAAAAAATATTTTAGAGTCCATTATCATTTTCTACACATATACAAAAGACTCATGGAAATCTCTGGTGAAGAATCAGATTTATAGGTCAACTTGAGAAGAATATATAACCTTAAAAACATTGACTCATAGTAAATAAGGTACAATTTACTTAGGTCTTCTTTCATTATTTTGGTCAATCTTTTATTAAATGTATTTTTAAAAAGATTTATTTATTTATGACTATGAGTGCTCTATCTGCATATACAACTTTATGCTAGAAGAAGGCATCAGATTCACTATAGATAGTTGTGAGTCACCACATGGTTGCTGGGAATTGAACTCAGGACCTCTGGAAAAACAGCCAGTGCTCTTAACCACTGAGCTATCTCTCCATCCCTTAAATGTATTTTAAAGAAAACTTTATTTTGATGACATTGTGAATGCTTAACAATTTTTTTTATAACTTTTGCTACCTTTTAAAGATTCAGTTGATTTTTAAAGGAAGTTTGAGCTCATTAGTTGTTGCTTTTTCTTGAACTCTTTTGGCAGTTTGTGTCTTTGAAGGAGTTGACCCTCTTCCAAGTTGTTAAATCCACAGGCACAGTGGGGTTCATAGTATCCCCTTGTGGACAACTTTACAGTGACTGTAGGATCATCGGTCAAGAATGGCCTTTCATTGGCCATTCCTTCATTTCTTCCCCTCTTATTCTCCCCCTCCTTTCTCCTTCTCCAGCTCCCTCTTTTGAGCTCCCTCCTATATTTCTCTCTCTGTGTCTCTCTGTCTGTCTGTCTCTGTCTGTCTGTCTCTCTCTGTCTCTGTCTCTGTCTCTCTCTCTCGATTATTTTGAGGCAGGGTTTCTCTGTATAACATCTCTGGCTGTCCTGGAACTCACTCTGTAGACCAGGCTGGCCTCGAACTCACAGAGATTCACCTACCTTTGCCTTCCAAGTGCTGGGATTAAAGGTGTGTGCCTCCACCACCAGGCATTCTCTCTCTCTCTCTCTCTCTCTCTCTCTCTCTCTCTCTCCTACTCACTTCGGCATTTGGATTACAGCATTGTGATTTACTATTAGGTTTACTGCAAGTGGCACCTTTGTCTATAAATGTTCTTTTGCTAACTTGCAGAGTTTGGTTAAAGAGTATGTGGAAATGCTCCCAAATTCTAAGTGGGAGGCAAGAGAGCACTGTGTGTTGTGAGGAAATTCATTGTAAGGAGTAAAAGGCCAGCAAAAGAAAATGTACCATTTCTCAACTACAGGAAAAGAACCTTCAAGCCTTTAGTGATATCGCTGGCTTACATGCCATGCTAATCACTATGTTAAATCATGGCATAATAAACATTGTTTTAAAAAGTTATTTTGCTACAATGCACACAGTGTGGTTTGTAAGTATGTCCTTAAAAAACGAATGTTTTTGTTATTGTGACGCTTTGGAATGACGGATTTTAGATGTAATTTAGTTTCAAGTGTCAGTTTTTTTCTTTTTAAATATATCTTACTGGGTGCACACCACAGTTTTTAGGTGGTTCTACTGAACTTAAACTTCAGGAAATGCAGATAAATGGTTTTATAACTATCACATAGTGCTCACTGGTACATGTCTTGTTGCCAAGAATTTCAAATTTATGACATCTTTTTACAGTTTCCCATTTCTTACTCAGTGTTCATTTCTTCTGCTATGTATAGGAGTAGCCCTGTCTGTCCCATTATCCTCGCTCACCAGTCCTGAAGGTGTACGCGAGCGCTCCATTCCCACTATTAGCCACAAGGTGGCGATACAAACCAACATTTTTTTTTTTTTTTTTTTTTTTGCAGAAAGCATTTCTCAGCTTGTGCTCAGGAAATCTCAAATTTCTTTGTCTTGCTTTAACACAGGCATCATTTTTTCTCTTCAATATACAGTGAAACACAATAAGAATTAAACACAACAAGGAGTTTTTGTAATTGACCTTTCACTGGCGTCTTTCTGTTTTTGGACTTTAGCATATTTTCTTCGCCACAGATGTTGCATCTGAAATACTTCCCACATTAACTCCCACTGTGCAGTGTGTGTTAGCCTCCCCTGGGCTGTGCAGAACGCGGACGTGCTCAGAACCCGGGCAGCACCATGCTCACCTTAGGAAAAGCCACTATGAAGTCGTAGGCATTCGCTTCCCTCGCTGCCTGCTCCATCTCCTCTTCACTAACTCCTTCGCGCCCCAACTTAATGTTATTGCCGATGGTGGTCCCAAACAAAACAGGCTCTTGGCTGACCACTCCGATGTGCTCTCGGTAATGCCTCACATTTTGGGCTCGGATGTCGTTCTCATCGATTGTGATCTGACAAACCAAAGAACAAAGCAGGGTGTGATGCTGTAGGAGGTCTTGGCTTTTGACTATCTTATTGATCCGAAGAATAAGCCGAGAAGCAGTATCTCGGCAAAGACTGGCTGTATTTCGGTAAAATATTTATGGTACGAGTAACACCAGTAGATTTTTTTTCTGGTAGGTTGGAATCAACAAATCTTCAAGAAACAATCAACTTAAAATCCTATGAAACCACAAATTAAGTATTGTCAATAAGATACATGCTCACAAACACTGTAGGTGCTACAAATGTTATTGTGGAGACAGACACCATCAACTTTGTTGTTTTAAGACTGATGGCGCCTGTAAAGTTCTAGCCTTCTTTATTTCTCATTGCCTGTTCAATCACAAAAGACAAAAGTTCCTTCTACTCATTGTTTTAATTAATAGTAAATAAACTGTCTTCGTTGGTAGCACTGTGACTGTAGCATATTCCAGGGACAGGATTGGATGTAGCCATCAGAGACTCCACTCCTCACAGCCCTGGCATTTATGTGAGAATAGACACTGCTTTGCATTTATCCAGTGATTTATTTAGTCAATATTAGCATGGACTCAATGTCTATAATATTTTAAACATGGGCTGAGACATGCAATTTAAAAGAGACCAGCTCCTACAAGATTTTCTTTTAAAGACAATAGTTAAGTAGAAGCACTAAGAATCGTATTCTCAGGAATATCAGCCTCAGGTGAGAGCTAATTTCAACATTATAGATTTTGGAAAATGAGAAGGAATAGCCCACATGTAAAGGCACTTGCTGTCCACACCTGCCCACTGGAATTCGAACCTTGGAACCCACATGAAGGCGGAAGAGGAGATGCAACTTGACAGTTATCTTCTGATCTGCACATGATCTGCAGCTTCTGTCACCCTCAGGCACTCTCATGGAATGCAACAAATACATTCTAAAAGAAGGAGCATGCTTTCTACAGATATTATTCTTCTAACACATTTTGAAATTCTATTTTTATTTTTTTGATATTGTTGTTTGTGGTACTGGGGCTCAAACCCAAGGCCTTGTATTCCAGGCGTGCACTCACCACCCAGGCACAACTTTAGCCCCTGCTTTTTCCTCCCTCCCTCCCTCCCTCCCTTCTTTCTTTCTTTTAACATAGTTTCACCATGTAGCCTAGGCTGGCTCTAAACTCATGAGATCTCTGCCTCAACCCCCTGAGTGCTGACAATTTAGGTATGCATCACCATGCCCAGCTAAATTTTGAAATTCTTCAGAAGACTGATGTGGTATTTGGAATGAAAATGGCCCCATCGACTCATGGGGACTGGCACTATTGGGAGATGTGGTCTTGTTGGAGTAGGTATGGCATTATTGAAGGAATTATGTAACTGGGGTGGGCTTTAAGGTCTTAGAAGTTCAAGCCAAGCCTAGTGTGGCTCATTCCCTTCCTGCTGCCTGCAGAACCAGATGTAGAACTCTCAGCTCCTTCTCTAGCACCATGTCTGCCTGCCATGCTTCATGCTATGATGATAATGGACTAAACCTCTAAGCTGTAAACCAGACCCAATTAAATGTTCTTTTATAAGAGTTGTCATGGTCACGGCATCTCTTCACAGGAATAGGAACCCTAACTAAGACAACTGGGCACTACAAACTACACTCTTTTACCTTGAACCTGGTCTGTAGTCTATTTACCCTGTTTATTATCTGTCTACATAAGAGAATGTGAACTCCCAAAGGCAGAGGCTTTTGTCTCCCTCGTTCTCTGAGGGATTCCCGGAGCCCAGACACATCAGACAACACATAAGTTGAATGAACAGACACACAGGAAGGCACTCAGCACGGCTCTTCTCAGTATCACATAAATACATTTGGCACAGCTGCCTGCTCTGTCACAGGTAGTGTTTCCATTCTGTGTACACGGCTTTTCTTTCTTTTTGTGTACATGTGTATACGCTCGTGTGTGTGTGTGTGTGTGTGTGTGTGTGTGTGTGTGTGCACTGTGTGTAGAGACCAGTGTCTGTGCATATGCACATGTATACACAGAGACCAGTGTTTGGGTGTCTTCCTGGATCACTTTCCTTCTTAGTTTTTCAGATAAGGCCTCTCGGGGAACCTGGAGCTCATCAATTTATCCAATTAGGTCAGCAAGCCTCAGGGATCCTCCTGTCTCCACCTCCTCAGCACTGGGACTGCAGATGTGCATCTGTCTGTCAAGCCTCAGAGACCCCCATCTTCACTTCCCCGGCACTGGGATTACAGATGTGCAAGCCATGCCTGGCCTGGCTTTAAGTGGGCGCTGTAAATACAGCACCTCTTTCTCACATAGCAAGCCCTGAAACACGGAGGCATCTCCCCAGTCTCTCCCACGTGGTTTTCCTAAGAGCCTGTACTTACACAGCCTTCTTCCGGGTCATATAGCCTCTGCAGAAGCTGGACTGTTGTGGTCTTGCCACTACCACTGGGACCAACCAAAGCCACCGTCTCTCCAGACTTAATCTTGAGATTGAGACCTTTCAGAATCTGTTGTATACACAGGAAATGACACCATTAGGAATGCTGGGCAACAATGTACATACAGTCAGAAAGTTAGTTTGTAATTACAAACAGAAAAATTCTTATGTGGCATATGAAAACAACCAGATCTTATATTTATTTGTATAGTATTTCATTTATATCTCTAATAATGTACAGTTTTGGAGTACAATATTTAAATTTTTCTCTATACAAAGAGGAGATCTAATTTAAGAGTTAGGTCATCACAGCAAACTGTTCACATTTTTTTGTTTTTTTTTTTTATTAGCATATTTTAATTGTAAAAAAATAAAGGGTTTTCATGAAGTCATTTTCTTACATATAATATATATAATTGATCACATTCATCCTTCCAGTGCCTTTTCCTTCCCTCTTCCCTCGCTCTTTTTGATTTCCTTCTTCTTTTCAAATAAACAATTTTTCCTAAACATGTATGTCTGGTGCATGCTCATGTGGATATGCACATTTGCATGTGTGCAGGTGCACATGCATGTGTGTGTACATGCACCTGGAGGCCTGAGGGTAACATCAGGAGTCTTCCTCAGTTGTTATCTGCCTTATATATTGAGGCAAGGTCTCTCTTTGAACCTGGATGGGCTGCCATACCCACCAGGTTTTAATTGAGTGCTGGGGATCTGGACCCTTTTCCTCATATTTGAATAGTGAGCACTTTATCTACTAAGCCTCTACCAAGCAAGCAAACTTTACATTTTTTTACTGAAATATCTTACATGAATCTTTTTAAAAAATTTATTTATTTTTATTTTATGTGCATGGGTGTTTTGTCTACATGTATGTCTATGTGAGGATGTCCAGTTACAGACAGTTGTGAGCTGCCATGTGGGTGCTGGGCATTGAACCTGGGTCCTCTGGAAGAACAGCCAGTGCTCTTAATCGCTGGGCCATCTCTCCATCCCCTTCTTACATGACTCTTATGACAACCAAGTTAAATTTTTATCTTTTAATTTTCAATGAATGAAATCTCAACAGGTAACTTTGAGTTATTCAAGAAAGCTCTCCCTTAGAATAGGTCTAACATTTCTACAAAGTATACTAAAAAAAGCCGTTGGCAAGCTCACAGGGACACAGGTAGATCTTAGTAGTTTTAGACACCTGCCTGGATCTAAGCACACATGACAGCACAGTGGGAATATTTACAAAATTTTCTCCATGTCTGAGAGTCACTACCCAGCTTTAGTTCCCAGAGATCTGCCATATGACAGCAGTCTCACCAACGACAAGAGCCACCTACGGATACCCTCAGAGATCTTTGCTTGTAACTGTTTTCAGCTCCAAAATGAGCCTCTCGTTTTGATCTTATCATTTTTAAAGAAACAAATATTTAAATAAGCACAGTGTGAAACCTCCAGTGGGCCAATCAGAAAAGCACTAAAAAAAAGGGGGGGGATGAGCATCCTGGACTAATGATAAGGGGTGCTTCTTCCATGACACTTTCATCCTCAAGTTGGTTACTCTTCATTCCACGGAAGAATGTGTCCTTCACTTAAAGTCGGTAGGCCTTAAAAATTAACTGTTCAGCCTAACGGAAAGGGTTATGTTCAAAAGCTAATTTAAGTGCTGGGGAGACGGCTCAGCAGATAAAAATGTTAGCCACACAAGCCAGATGACCTGAGCTCAATTCCTGGAACCCATGTTAAAAAAAAAAAAAAAAAAAAAAAAATCAGTGCAGTAGAGTTCACCTAGGAAGATCACAGGCCAGCTAGCCTCGGGTTTGCATCAAATCAGCAGAAACAAGAGAGGAAGCTGTCTCAGCGAGGTGGAAGAGGAGAACCAAGTCCCGAAAGCTGAGCTGTCTCTGACCTCCACCCACGCAAAGTGGCAGGTCCGCTCGCCCGCTCCCATGCACACACCAAATTAAAACAATTGTTTGCCCAAATACGGTGGCCCACACCTATACAAGTTTGAGACCAACCTGGGCTACATAGTGAAAACCAGCTTCAAAATAAAGAAACAAGTAAAAGAATTGTTCAGAACCCAGGGAACATGGCTCGGAGCATTAGCATGGCACAGTTTGTGCTCAGGGGCAGAAGCCAACCTAAACGTATATTCAAAATGCAGCCTAAACTGCCGTGTTAAGAGGAAAGGCAAAAACTGGGGCAACAGTGGTAAGTGACAAACAGGTCACAAAACAAGAGACTTTGATGAGAGAATTCCAGTAAAAAGGGTAGTCAGAGAGAAAACAAGGAAGTGGGAGTGGACTCGTCATTTTAACCCGGATTCTATAAGGCACGTTAGAGGCGGATGCAATAGTAATCTCAGTAATCTCATCTGTCTCACTTAAAATTGTGCCCCCGCTTTTCTCCTAATTATGAATTTTGTTAGTAGCTGCCTTTTGCAATCCTTAACAATACTATTTGGGGAGTGGGTAGCAAAGGGAGTAAACATATTAATTAAACATAAGGAAAAAGTTAACAGAAAAGACAGATATGTTTTTCCAAGAGCTATTTGTTTTTTTAAAGATTAGTTTATTGAGTGCCCTCCAAGAGGTCAGTTGGCTGGGCATTAGCTAGACTTCAGTCTCCTTTTAATTGTTAAAGGGTGAGTGAAAAGAGTGGGACAGACTGTGTGTGTGTGTGTGTGTGTGTGTGTGTGTGTGTGTGTGTGTGTGTGTCCGTGCCTGTAAAGTGAGAGGAAGAGTATCGGAGACACAGCTGATGCAGGAGAAGCCTCAAAGATGGAAGAGGGGAAGGCCTAGCAGGTGTGTAATACCTGGTGGTTGGAAATTCCCAGATTCAAATGATTAAGTGTAGCTGGATAATACCCAGATGCCACCACGAGGTGGCAGCATTCATTAATCCAAGACATTTTGGTGCCCTCAGAAATGCAGAGTGGAGGAAACACGGAGTTAAAAATGCCTGCCACTCAACTACAGGAGAGCGGCTGGAAAATATAAATCACTGTCCTAAGAGATATTAGCCCACTGCTTATCAGTCAGCCTAGCTATCAGTCTAATTGAGTCTCTAAGCAAGTAGCCAAAATCTGGGTCAAAATTATCCCAGAGAGAGACTGGGGAGATGGCCCCCTGGGAGAGCACATGGCATGTAAGTGTGAGGACAGCAGTTCAGTTCCCTGGCACTGATATTAATGCTGGGAGGGGTGGGGGGTTTGGGAGGCAGCAACAGGGGATCCCCATAGCAAACTGGCTAGCTAGACTGGATGAATTGGTGAGCTTTAGGTTCAAGTGAAAGATCCTTCTTCAATCTGTAAGGTGGAGAATGATCAAAGAGGACACCAAATGTTGCTCTGTGGCCTCCACAGACATATGCACACATGTATAAGCACACCTCACAGGTGAAAATTCTCACACATACACATATACCACACATACACAAGCAAAAGGACCTTAAAAAAATCCCACAATAGAATATTCTGGCCAGAAGATAATGTCAGAAAAGACTACAGTGCAATTGAATTGAACCTACCTTGACAGATGGTCTTGATGGATAGCTGAAAGAAACATTTTTAAATTCTATGTTTCCTTTTATACATTCAGGTTTATATCCAGTTGTTGAAAAGTTATCTATATTGGGTTTCTTGGAAGAACAAAGAGATTGTTATACATCTTTAAAGGGCTAAGCTGATACTGCCTCTATCCCCAAATGGTTTAGAGATGGGCTTTAAGTTTCTTAAGTTCTTGTTTTGGAAGTGCATGAGTTGGACATGGAGTTTTCAATAAAAGACGTTTTCCTCACAAAAGAGTTAAATGCAGTAGTCTTTCATCCCATAACCAAGTGACCACTATGGTTTTAGTGAAATGAACATGCCTATCTTTTGGGCTCCTTCTTGCAGTAAGGACAGCTATATTTCAAAGCAATGAGAGCTCCTACCTTATCAATAACCTGGAAAATATTAAAGGCAGCTCCCCGGGCTATGGTGAAGGTTTCCAAGTGAGGGGCTGCAGATCCAATGCAATAACTACTATGGATCACACTGAAGAAAACCTACAGAGACAGAGTAAACAAGAGTCACATTTCTGCAGTAATAAAGACAACAGGATGGAGGACATGTGTGGCCTAGGTTCACAGAGAAGTATGAGATGGCTCAGGTGAGAACACAGGCCATCCCCAGCATTCTTGGCTTTTTCTTAGGATGGCTCTCCACTGTTGCAGGAGTTTGTCTCTACAGCTGCGGTGGCATTTGAGCTGCCTGAACCATGCTGGCCCACAGGAAGCTGCAGGCAAGCTCAGTGCTCTCGCTATGCACCCCTCCCCTCCACTATGGCCATTGCTGGAAGCTTTAGCAAGAGAGTGATTGAAGTTATAGCTCAGAGACATTGTATTGTTTCTGTCCCTGCTTTAAATTTTTTTCTGTCACTGGACAGCTGTCCATATTTAGGCAAATGACTCTGTAGAAAAAGTCAAACAAGGAAAGAATTCTACAAGGTGGTGCACTTTTCTCCGTCATGCAGATGTGGGAACTAGAGGAGCAAAACTAGCTGCAAATTCTTCATATGAGATGAATGAAGAGCTTAAAACATTAACTATGAAAGCCTTAAGTATAAAAGATTAATTTAATTGAAAGAAGAGACATCTACATAAGATGAGAAGACCAGACAAAAATAAAAGCATCGGAGCAGGTCATTTTGCTCAGCCTGAACTGATGTGTTTGCCGTAGAAACTGGAGGGTAACTGAATGAGTTGCAGTTTCATACGTAGCGCTAGCAGTTTAGAGGACCTGGGTTGCAAGGTTGGAAAGGGCTGCAGGAAGCCTTTTTTTTTTTTTTTTTTTTAATGTATGTGTGCGTGCGTGCGTGCGTGCGTGCGTGCGTGTGTGTGTGTGTGTGTGTGTGTGTGTGTGTACACTAGTGCAGGTGCCAGAAGAGGCCAGAGGGCATAGGGTCCCCTGGAGTTGGAACTGAAGATAGAGGCAGTTATGACCCATCCCCATCCAACATGGTGCTGAACCTGGGTCTTCTTCAAAAGCAGTACATGCACTTAACCATTGAGCCACCTCTCCAGCTTCATGTAGTTTGTTTTAAACATGGCTAAATTCTGGGAAGGATAGAGGAGCAAACCATATTAGGATCTAAACTACTGCAGGACTTTCAGTTAGCAATGCCTCTGTGGACTGTGATCTAATCCCAGGAAACCCGAGAAGAAATGACTTACTACAGACTAGCCATTTTCAGCACTGGACTAATTATTATTATTATTATTGAATTCCCCACTGTATTTATTGGTGGGGAATTCAATCATGACTATGATTCTTCTGAAAGCACAATGCTTGGCACAATGAGGACACAAAACATGTTGGATGAATAAATCTTAAGTATACATATATATATATATTACATACATATACATTTAATGTAATATATTTATCAGGAGAAGGTAAAAATGTTTATTTAAGACATATTTGAAGAGTCATCCTCAAAGTGAAATTTTCTTATTAAACTCTAGGTAAGGAAAGATGATCTAAGCCTGCTATCTTTGTTTTCAAACAAGACTTACAGCAAGAATAGTCCCGATGGTGTAACCAGGCTCTCCACCAAAAATCAAGGAGGTTCCATACCAAAACGCCAGCCCGTAGGCTCCATTCATGAAGAAGTAGACCGCTCCAAGAGACAGCTTTGCAGCTGTAGCCTTCTTTATGCCAGCGTCCTTTGCGTCTTTTAGATTCTGTGTATACCTTACAAAGACAAAACACCAATAGCCTTGGGAGAAACCAAAACCACGCACCTTTTCTCACAATTAAAGGGACAGACCTCTGAATTTCTTTCTCTTGGGCTCCAAAGGCTGTGACTGTTCTGATTGATGACAAGACTTCTTCAGCTACAGCCCCAGCTTTGGAATAGGCCTCCAGCTCCTTACTGGTCAATGAGATGACCATCTGTAGTAAACACAACCACTGTTAAACAAAGAATGAATCTGCTATGGTTTGAATGCGAAGTGTTCCCCAGAGGCTCAGCTGGTGGTGTTATTTTTGGGGAGTCTATGGGACTTTTAGAAGTGGGGTCTAGCTGATGGCATAGGCTACTACATGTGGGTATAGCCCACTTCTGGCTTTCGTCTCTTTCTCTACTTCCTGGTCCTTGGAAATCGGAGGCCCAGCCATACCCTTCAACCACCACCGGCTCTACCCTCTACCTTCCTGTCATGGTGGACTAAAACAAACTCTGAGCCAAAAATAAACTTCTCTCTCTCTTGTTATTTATACCACAGCAACACAAAACTGACTCTGATAGTTAGTTTTAATTGTCAGCTTGACATATCTAAAATTAGATCAGCCTGGCCTATGAGCATGTTTATTGAGCAGTATCTTGATCATATTAATAGAGGTAGGGACACCTGCCCATTACAGGTGGCCCCATTCCCTTGGCAGGTGGTCATGGGTTGTGTGGGAAAGGAGAAGGTGGAGCACAAGCATGCACACATTTCTCTCTGTTCGTGATTGCTGCTTTGACATCCCTGCCATGATGGATGATAGGATGGAACTATGAGCTAGAACAAACCTACTCTCCTAAGTTGCCTTTGTCAGAGTGGTTTTTCACAGCAGCAGGAAAGGAAGCCAGGGCGTTATCCAATGGAGAACTGAGGCAGTGACAATTGACAGATACTTAACCCACACACAGCTTGAATCCTGAGTAGCTTTTCATTACCCAGCATCTAAATCCTCATCTGACTTTTTCTTCTACCAGTGATGCTCTACTGTTTTCTCTCTGTGTTTTTAAAGCGTCTTTTAGCTGTGGGTAGTTTTATTGGTACAATGGGGAATATTTTACTTGGAAAAGGACATTAGAAACATTTATTTTATGGGCACTGAAAATCAGTGAACCTTATTTGAATTGATTTTTTTTTCTTTTGCACAAAGAAAGGATTCCAGGGTGTATAGGTTACAGGACTATGGCAAGAAGAGGATCTTGGTCTCTCATATGTATGGGGAATGGTCTTAAAACTATTACTGTTCATACATGATGGAGTATGCTCAGTAAATGCTTTATCTCTCGACCCTAGGAGGTGAGACAAAGTGAAAAAGGAGATCATTATTATTGATGGCAGTAGGTGCAATTATCTGATTTCTCAAAAAATCTGAAATAGCGAGTATCCCTTCCTCTGTTATGAACCATTTGCCAATTCTTTGTAGTCTTAATTAGTAAAACAGTTCAGTGAGAAGAACAACAGCAATACCACTTCAAGCTGGGAGTTTGATATTGTCTACTCATGTAGCAAGCTACCTGTTTCCAAAATACCAAAGTACATTCCATGCAATTGGAGTCAATTTGGTGTACAGGAAGCTTGAGTAGCTGGTAAAGTCATGGGAAGTCATAAATTGAATACTGATGTCTTAGTTGGAGTTACTATTGCTATGATAAAACACCATGACTAAAAGCAACTTGGAGAGGAAAGGTTTATTGTGTTCACAGTTCTATATAACAGTTCATCATCCGAAGCAATGAGGACAGGAACTCAAGTAGGGCAGGAACCTGGAGGCAGGAGCTGATGCAGAGGCCATGGAGAGGTGCTAATTACTGGCTTGCTCCACATGGCTTGCTCAGCCTGCTTTCTTATAGAACCTAGAACCGCCGGCCCAGGGGTGGCACCACCCACAATGGGCTAGGCCCTCCCCCATAGATCACTAATTAAGAAAATGCCTTACAGCTGGACCTTATAGAACATTTTTCTCAGTTGAAGCTCCCTCCTCTCTGAAGACCAAATTGATATAAAACTAGTCAGAACAGCTAATCATTTCTGAGTTTACTTAACAAAGACAATTATCTTCACAGTAGATCATTAGTGCTAAGACTTGTACATATTGAATATTCAGTAAATACTTGCCAAGTTAAACTGAACTGAAGGGGATTATTCACCCTATGGTCTCTCATTTGCTTTCTCTTTAGTTAATACAGTAGTGAAACTTAGATGCCTCTGCTGTTCCTTTACAACTTGTGTCCACCTTTCTCATGAATGGATAAGGATCTGCTCCTGGTAACACATTCTGGGTATTTTTCCCTATTAAGTGATCCTTATTTCATCAAGCTTGAAATAAAGATGAGGATTATAAGGTCAACTCCAGAAACCAGAATATCACAGACCTATGGTCTAATGTTCTTCAGTGGGATAGCCAGTGGTACAGTGTCCATGTTCCTCTAAATGACCCCTTACTCATATTCCTGTGATTCAATAACCCCACTGAAACACACTGAGTCACATGTATAAAGGATGTGACAGGAGAAGGGTGATTAGAGGAAGGGGAGTGAGAGTGAGGGGTGACAAGAAAGGGCAATGGGGATGCATGTGATAAACTACATTTTACACATGTATTCATGAAACCCTTGTTATGTAAAATTAATATGTGCTAATAGAAATCTTTAAAAAGATCTGTTCTATAAATACCCAAGATTCATTTTAAGAAATCAGTCAACCACAGAATATTTTTATTGATTGGACTTGTATACTGATAGCAAGTGAGCAAGGAGATTTTATGGATTTGATTTTTGAAAAATGAATATTACAAAATTAAAAGTAACAGTGCCTCTGATGTAAGTCCTGGGCATGGCCACTGGAAACTGTGGAGACATGATTTTGAGAAAAGTTAGGGATGCACGGGATGCTAGAGGACACACACACACACACACACACACACACACACACACACACACATACACACACTGGCTTGTGAACAAGATTACTATCTTCTGGTATGTGCACTAGAACATTGCTCAGAATGCAATGGAGAATGAAAATAGAAATTTGTGTAAAAAGCTGAAGTATGTTTACTTGAATGTTAACATATATTCTAAATCATTTAAAGGTGTGTAAAATGTAAACTTGAAGAGACTGATATCAAACAGCATTTTAAGTGTATATTACTTGAGGATTTTTTACGTTCAGTTCTACCCAATACCATGAACTACTATGCATTTACTGGGGGGATTTAGAATATACAACATTCTGTTGGCAACAATTAAATGTCCAGTGTGTACTCATCATCCTCTATCTGTGCTACCCTTTGAAGCAGCACAAGGCTATTTTTCCTGTTAGTAAGATATTGATCACATCACATCTTAGCCACATAATTTGAAGATATAATGGTGATTACTGTTTAAAAGACCAGAGGTTGATAATCTCTCTTATGCTTTGGGACACACAGAATAAACAGAAACATCCCTTTCTCTTTTGCAAGCTTGGTTAGACGTTGTGCTTATTCTGCTGCTGCCAGGACCCAGCCTGGCTTGCTTACCCTAGAACACACTGCTGACGAAACCATTATGGCAGGAGATGTGGATAGAACCACCAGGGAGAGTTTCCAGCTCTTCATCAAGCTCATCACCAGGCCAATAGAAAACCCAGACATGTTCTGAAACAGCAGAGCGATCTTATCTCCAATACCATCGCAGATTTTGTTGATGTCACTGCAACAAAGAAGTCCCTATGGTTCAGTTACATACACAACAAGTCCACACACGACCTATTTCTTCCCTTACCCAGCCATGCGCGTGTTAAGTTCACAGACGTCACTGCCATCAAACCAGCTAATGTCTTGTGCCAAAATTGAATGAAAAAACTGTTTTCGAATTCTCATGGTTTGCCGGGCTGCAGTTATGACCCAGAAGGAAATCTGTATGTAGCCAAAAATGAGGGCAGCTGCTCCTATCCCAACATAATACAGAGTCAACCTGAGGGAAGATGATTGGAACATTAGGCTGAAGCACAGCATTCTCCAGTGATGAGACAAACAAAACAAAAACCATCAAAAACTACTGAAAATAGAAAAGAAATCTAATATTTGCTAAAATTTATTCTGGAAACTAAAAAATACCTAAAAACACCAATAGTAATAGAAAGAACAAATTTTGAATAGTCTTCTAAGTTTCTCTTTACAACATCTAGAGCATATTTTTGACATTATTAGTAGAAATTAGTACTTTAAAACATGTTTGTTCTGTTTTTTTTTCAGTATTTATAATACTTTCAGGTGGAGAAGTTATATTGAGGTAATTTTAAAATAGGTCTAAGTAGAATAGGAGGGAAAAGAAAATGTTACCACTCACAAACAGCTGACAGAGGGTATATGTAGGTGTGTGTGTGTGTACATATCTCATATCTATCACTTATTCTAAAATTCAATATAAGGAACTTATGTTAAGGTAATATGTACAGAGGTTAAACTTTGTGGGTGGCCATTTCAGTGATCATAATAATATAGAAGAGTTGAAAGGAGTTTTAACACCTGTGGTGGTTTGAACATAATTGCCCCCTCCCCCCCCATGAGCTCATAGGGAGGGGCACTATAAAGAAGTGTGGCTTTGTTGGAGTAAGTATGGCCTTGGAGGAAGTGTGTCACTGTGGAGGCAGGCTTTGAGGTCTCATACATGCTTAAGCCATGCCCAGTGTCTCAGGCCACTTCCTGTTGCCTGCAGATCAAGATTTAGGACTCTCAGCTACTTCTCCAGCATCATGTCTGCCTACATGCCATCATGTCACACCATAATGATAATGGACTAAATCTCTGAAAATGTAAGCTAGCCCCAACTAAATGTTTTTCCTTTATAAGAGTTAGTGTGGTCATGGTGTCTCTTCACAGTAATAAAAATCCTAACTAACCCAACACCTTTCTAGGAGGATAGGTAAGAAACAGGGCTATTTAATAACTACCTATCAGGAATGCATTATGTGAGGCTCTAGAGCTACAGTCATGTGCATTATAGATATTGATATTCTGGTAGAAAGATAGACAGGATATAAAGAGCAAGAATTTAAGGTGTATTTGAAGGGAGTAAACAAGAGACAGGTCACGGAATAATTCCTGTACATGCATTGTTGAGTGTACATGGGTTGGAAGAGATAGTACAAATAATAGAATGCTTTAAGAAAAGTTTCTTTGAGGAATTAATATTAGAGCTGCATCTAAAATGTAATAGAGAGTTAATCTTTAAAAATCAGGGAGAGGAGCTGGCAAGATGATTCAGTAGGTAAAGGCACTTGTTTCCCAGCTGACAACCTGAGTTTGATCCCTAGGACCAAAATGTAGTAGAAGGAGAAAACAGATTCCCAGGAACTGACCTCTCACCTCCACAAACATGACATGGAGAGTGAGTAATCCCATTTTACTTCCTGCCAAATAAATTATATATATGGAGAAAGAACAGGTCTCTCCTGGGATGGACAAAGCAGAAAAAAATGTGTGGCATGGTCCAAGAACTTGTTTAGCTAGTTGAAAATGCAGGAGAAAAATGGCCCAACACAGACCTTTAGAGATCATGCACTCTTTCCGTTTTGTTGCAAGGGAAGCAAAAGGTCACCAGAATAGCCAGGCACAGGGTGGTCCTACACGCTGAGCTTTGTAAAAGGCCACGCTGGCATCTTTGTTGAGAATGGGTAAACATGATAACAATGGGAGCAGAAGTTACTGCAATGAGTCATGGGAAAGGATAAGGGCTTAGATGAGAACCGTAGCACCTAAGGTACAAACATGTAGAGAAATGCTAAGATTCTTGCTACTAAGCCTGATGGCCCGAGTTTGATCCTTAGAACTTACATTATAGAAGGAGAGAACTAATTCTCACAAGATGTCCTTTGACTTATACATGTTCATAGTGACACACACACACACACACACACACACACACACACACACACACACACACAGAGGCAGTCACACACACAATCAAGCAATCAATAAATGCAAAAAGAACTTTTAGAAAGTGCAGAGTCTAGATATATTTTGGAAATAAAAATGATCAGACTAATGGACTTTCAGACAGACAGACAGACAGACAGACAGCCTTCTTTGCCATAAAGACAACCAGAAGACTGTGAGGAAAAACAAACTCCCTCTCCACTGTTTCTAATCACTTTAAATTCCATATACCTTGAGAAATATGTCCTGCTTCTTGATTGCCAGCCTACACACCCATCCCTGAACTCAGTACCCCTCATAATTCCTAAGAGGGAGGGAGAATCTGAAAAGTTCTCCCCGTGGGGCTTCCTGCATCTATGGCAATGCCCCTTTTACATGGGAGTCTCCACTCTTTGAAGCAGCAGACAGACCCTGGTGACCTCTTTACTATGGCATAGGTGTTTTGATTTCTCAGTGTTTTGTATTTTGTGTTTATAACAATAAAACAATTCTTTGTTTAATATACCCTTTCAAACAAAGTGGGCAATAGAACAGGATACAAGGAATGAAATCAGGGGAGAGGCCAAGGACGACTTTCTGGCTTTTGTTGATTAGTGTGGTCAGTAGAGTGCCATGTGCAGACATGGGGTACTGGGGATAGGACAGATTTTCAGACACTATCAAGAGATCTGGTTTGGACATATTAAAGGTCCTGAAATGGGAGTTTGGAGACTGAAGGACTGGAGAAGGTACTAGGATGGAGATGGAATTAGAAAGCCAGAGCTTCCAGGCAGAATTCCAACAAACAGCAAAAAACATTCTGGGAGACAAAATATAAAAATGTAGGTCAAGAAAAGAGGGACAAGGGCTGTGCTCAGGAATTCTGTAGACAGGTGGTATTTGGCCTGAAGAAAGTACAGTGGTTGGAAGTCAAGGGAGTTAAACACTCAGTAAAACCAGAGAACAAAGCAAGACTGGTGCTCACTGAGGACTTAACACAGATTTGTCTACTACTAAACCTTGTTTCCATCTCCAAAGTGAAATAGTTGTTTGTCTGATACAACATTCCCAGCTGAGGTTTAAAAAGGCTACTCTGTCACCTTAGTTCAGCTCTCTGAACAAAACCCTGTCGTTCTGGTGGTCTCATTTTTGTGCTTCTGTTTATGTCTTTGTTGTTTATGACCAATCCTAAGCATCAAGCTGAAGTGGCATCCAGCAGAATGGTGGTACATGCCTTTAATCCTATCAGGAGGCATAGGCAGGTAGACTTTAGGGTAGCCTATTGTACATAGAGACTTCTATGCTGCCCAGGGATACATAGTCAAACAGACCCTGTGTCAAAAAACAAACAAAAATACTAATAGCTTCCTTTTAAAAAATTGACAAAGACATCCTAAAATGTATGTAGGAGTGTATAGGACTCATAATAGCCAGGATAATTTAAAAAAGGAAATTGTGCTGAAACTTATTTTCTGATTTTACTTATTTATTAACTAAATAGATACCATAGTAAAGAAGAAAACAGTATGGTGCTAGTGTAAAGACAAATGTATTGATAATTATAAGATTTCAGAGGCTAGAAATTAATCCTTACAGTTCTAGATAGTTGGCTTGTACCAAGTTGTATGGTTGAGAAAGTATAGCCTTGTCTTTAAAAATGTGGTGGGACATGTGAGAAAGATGAGATGAGACCCTTCCTTAGTCACAAATTAACTCAAAATGGACCACAGGTCTACAGGTAAGAACTAAACCATGGAAACTTCTAGAAGAAAAACAGTAACTCTGGGTTTCTCAAAGAATTCTTAAATTCAAAAGCACAATAAAAAATTCGATAAATTGAAATTCATCAAAATGTAAAACCTGTGTGCTCCAAAAGAAGCCTTTAAGAAAACGAAAACATGATGGGAGAAAACAATTGCCTATCAAATCTGAGAAAGAATGTGTACTCAGAATTTATAAAGGGCCCTTTCAGCTCAGTCATAAGACAATGTTGCAGTTTAAAACATGTGTACCTTACAGAACACAGTCAAAAAGTGTACCCACAGACAGATGTACCCACCAAGTCCATAAAAATGATGGAGACTGAGGAAGTGAATTTAGAATTTATTTACCTTCAGTTAGTTTGTGTCTATGTAGACACATGTGGCTGTGCCTAACATATCAATAGTGCGTGGTGGCACATTCTTGGAACTTTACCCTTGGATGGAGATTAAAGAAGGATGATCATGAATTCAAAGCTACCCTCAGCTATGTGGAGAGTTCTAAGCCTCACCCGTACAGACCATTTTAAAAAGCAAGTAAATGAACAGTCAAGGCCCAGAGAAAATACTAGGTGTTACTCTGGTCTGTCTGAAGACTTTGAAATTTTCAGTGAAAAAGTATAGAAATCTAGTCAAGAAACCCAGTAAAGAAGAAACATTTTAACTCAGCATGTGGTGGTTAATAAAGTCAAGCCTACTATTTACCTCATAATTTATAAAACAGAATGCTTTTATGATTTTTATTATTCAGATTTTGTGATTGTTAATCTGGATACAACTTAGTCTCAATTAAACTTTGCTACTTTTTAATTTTATTTTAAGAATTACTTGCTTCACTGTATTCATTTAATTCATCTTCCTCCTGTACTTCTTTTTAATGCCTTCCCATTTTTTTTTCTTTTGTGATGCTGAGTGTCAAACCCAAGGCCTTACAGATGCTAACCTCTTCCAGTAAATTCTATTGTTAGCTCATCTTTTCAAATTTGAAAATCTACTTAAATCGCATTTTTCTATAATAGTTGAAAAGAAAATAATTTTTACAAGAGGAAAAACAAATCCTTTGCCCTCTAAGAGATGTACTGCAGTTCTAGGGACAAAACTGGCATAGAAACACAGATCCTCACAGTTTTTCTGTTGCTAACAATTTTTCCAAATAAAACTCAGAGAATACGACTACTTACTTTTTATTTTTTCATTCTTTTGTATGGGTAAAGTACTTATGTGTATGCTCACACACCTACAGAGGCCAGCATGCTGTCTTCCATTGTGCTCCATCTTGTCTTTTGAGACAGGGTCTTTTGAACTGATTTGACTAGAGTGTTTTGCAAATGAGCTCCAGGAATCTGTCTGTCTCCCTCTCCCTAGTGCCTGGCTTTAGTGAGGGTGCTGGGTATTTGAACTCAGATCCTCACACTTGCACAGCAAGCCCCTTACTGAAGGAGCCTTCTCCCCAGACTCACTCTTTAAATAGATGGAGAAATTATGTACTTATTATACCATACATGGAATGAAAGAAAAGCACTTTTACTTTAATCACTTATATATAGTATGAATGATTAAGGTTTCCAGTTTTTTTTTCTTGTAGGTATTGGATAAAGCAGCATGCAAGAATAGGAACTTAATTCTTCATTTGGACTTACATAATGATATCTTCATTCAACTTCTCTCGAGACTGAGAACAGTTCTGATAGTTTGCTGTAAAAAAGTTGTCTTTCTTAATGATAAAGAAAATTAATTAATAATTAGCCATAGTGTTTCATAAGTATCCCTCCAAACCAAATACATGATTTTTGCTTGCTTGTTTGCTTTTATAGAAAATGGAATCATTGTCTCTGGGTTCATGATCCTTTGATGCCTATGGTTTTAAAGGAAAACTTTCTCTTTTCTCAAGACATATTTTCCCAAAGTAAGAATAAAAGGTAACATGACCTTGTAGCTCACAAAAAGAGTTCTCTAGGACACCTTTAATAATTAGCTGACAGTCAGGAGAGTTATAGCAGCACCGTCTCACTTTCTGCTTTTTAGAATTAAATTCAACATGTCCCAGAGAGAGATTTAGAAAGTTCAAGAAATGCAAGTACATGTGGGGAAGTTCTAAAAGCTGTCACAGCAAAAAATGGACACAAATATCATTGAAATATATTGGGTTATAACTAAGAGAACCACATAATAAAACTTTCAAACAGTCTGGCAGTGGTGGCACATACCTTTAATCCTGGCACTCAAGAGGCAGAGGCAGGTGGATCTCTGTGAGTTTGAAGTCAGTCTGGTCTATAGAATGAGTTCTAGAACAGCCAGGGCTACATATAGAAACTCTGTCTTCCAAAAAAAAAAAATACTGACACACACACATAGAAAAGCCCCAAAACCCCCAAAAAAGTTTAAAACAATGTTTTAGTTAGAAGTCTTTGATGCAATTTTTTTTGTGTATTTTCTGGAAAAATATCATCTGTCATTAGCAATATCCAATTTCTTTCATAAACCTCTGTAATAAACACTTGGAAAGAACTTCAGACTTCACTGCTCTTCATTTGTTATATCCCATATACTAATGTCTGTGAATTTATTTATGTATGAATAATTATTACCCCCATTCCATTTTTGGACTCATGATACATAAATTTAACTATCCCATTTAAAAAAATCATAATTGATGTAGAAAGAGTGAAGATAATAAATCCTAATAGAAATGTTAAATGAGATTTAACTCAGCTACTGAGGATAATCAACACTGCTTCTAAAACGGTATCACATTGACATAGAAATAGTGTAATCTCAATTTCTGAGATTATATTAGTAGAAGTAGTTTAAGCACAAGTTCAGTGTTTGCACAAAAGGGAATGGCTAATCAATGCTAGTTACTACTTTTATTTTATTTGTGGCAAATAAATAATCCTCCTTTACTATCCTCCAGAAAATTAACATTAATAATTAGCAAAGCTACCATTAAAATGTTGAAAGAATGCACCTTATGTTACTACTTCTCTTCAAAGATTATTTTTATTTTATGTGTAAAAGTGTATTGCCTGCCTGTATGTACGTCAGATACCCACGGAAATGAGAAGAGGGCATCAGATCCCCTGGAACTGTGGGTGCTGGGAACTGAATCCACATTCTCTGCAAAAGCAGCAAGTGCTCTTAACCACTGAACTACCTTTCCAGCCCCCAAATGCCTCTTTAGTAATGTGTTAATCTAACAATAATATCAAAAAAAAAAAAAAACCTTACCTAAATACAAACGGCTCTTATGTTTACCACAGTGATGGTTAATCATTATTGTCAGCTTGATTAGGTTGAGAAATGCTGGGAAAACTAGTAAAGCACCCTGTGTGGTGTGCGAGGGCATTTCCTGGGACAGTTGTCACATGGGACAACTGCAGGGAAGCCTAGCCCTGAGTGCAGGCAGGCAGTGCCGTCCAACAGGGGACAGGGTGGAAGAAAAGCAGAAGGGAGAGGTGGCCACCAGCTCAGGCTTGCTCTGGGCTGTCTTTGCTTCTTAACCATGAGGTAAGCACTTTTGCTTTGCTGTGCACACCACCACACCCATTCCCTATGATCTTCTGCTTTATCACAGGCCCACAGCAGGAAATCACCCCACCATGGCCAAACCTTCCAAATCAATAGTCAAAATAAAGCTTTCTCCCTTTTAACTTGTTTATGCTGTTTGTTCATTCGTTTGTTTGTTTAGTGTGTGTTGGTCAGGATACAAATTGCAGGAGTTAATTCTTCCCTTCTATGTGTGGTGATATTTTATTTGTGCTCTAATAAATAAAGCTTACTTGGAGATCAAAGGAAAAAGCCAGCCACTAAACATAGAAGTCAGCAATGGTAACACATGCCTTTAATCCTAGCAACCAGGAGGCAGAGATTAATCTGGATCTCTGTGAGTTCAAGACCACACTGGGAACAGAGCCAGGCATGGTGGTACACGCCTTTATTTCCAGCACTGGTTAACCATAGAGGTCTGGAGGTCTGGACAGATAGACAGGAAGTGATGTAGCTGGGCAAAGAGAGGAAGTGAAATGGCAGGGCACAGAAAGGATGTAGGTGTGAGTATACAGGAAACAGCTCTCTCTTTGGCTGAGGATTTCCTAGCAGTAAGAACGTGGCTGGCTTCTTTCTGCTTCTCTGATCTCTCAGTTTTCACCTCAATATCTGGCCCCAGGTTTTTTTTTTATTATTATTAATAAGACCATTTAGCAATTTGTCTCACAACTGTGTGGGTCTTGGAGATGAAATGTAGGTCGTCAGATTCCGCAGCAAGCACCTTGGCCCCTTACCTGTCTCACTTGTTCTCTGTCAAGTATTTCGCCACACTGATAAAAAATGCACCACAGCAATATTTATTACGTGTGCACTACCTTTTTCTACCTAAAACAAGTGTCTTACTGCTGTGACAAGACGCCATTACTAAGGCAACTTATAAAAGAAGGCATTTAGTTTGAGGCTCACGGTTCCAGGGGATTTGAGTCAATGATCATCATGTTGGGGAGTATGGCAGCAGGCCGGCAGCACAGTGCTGGAGCAGTGGCTGAGACCTCACATCTGATCCACAAGCATGAGGCAGAAAGAGAGACAGTTGGAGGGTAGGGGTAGGAGAGAGAGAGAGGGAAGAAAGGAAGGAGTGGAGAGAGAGAGAGAGAGAGAGAGAGAGAGAGAGAGAGAGAGAGAGAGAGAGAGTTGGAATGGCATGAACTCTTGAAATCTCAAAGCCCACCTCCAATGACACGCCTCCTCCAACAATACCACACCTCCCAATCCTTCTCAAACAGTTCCACTAACAGAGAATCAAAGATTCAAATACATAAGCCTATTGGGGGCTATTCTCATTCAAACCACCACAGAAGGTAAGAATTATAGAATATATCAAACAAAATTAATCCTCATAAGAAGACTGCCTTACGCTGCTGGGTTTATCACAATCAGTAAATATCTACTCAGTGAATTGATGGATCAATATTCACAACAGAAGTAATTTAGCTTGTATCACTAAAATCAAATGTTTTCGTGTGGGGGCACAAAGGTCTTTGTGTCCACAGGTCACTAGGGAAACCAGGAATATTAAACACACAGGGGCCTCTCCTCAATGGAGGAGATAAAATACCTATTTTTCTGCCCAGAGAACTGGGAGTGGATATGGTTAATGACATTTTTGTTATCTGTGACAGCAGACCTCACCCACTTTTTGCTATAGAGGCAGACTTCACTCAAATCCTCCAGAATGTCTATCACAGACAGTCCCTTTTTAGGTTCATTATTAGCTATAAAGCCTACCCTCATGGTCACATATACTTTGTAAAGGAGTGTCTAGTTAGTTACACCTTAAGTTTTATTGTGCATCTGGAATTGGAATGATTGTTTCCTGGAAACCTGGAATGGGACCTTTTGTTACCTGGAACTTTTCCCCAAATTGTACTGTGTTTTAAATATACTGATAATGAACAGCCTGGAATTAACTTCTCAAAGTCTGATTCAGGTTAACAAAATCAATCTGAACTGAGTTTTCATTCTCACTCTTCGAAGGTTCATTTTACTGCCAGAACATCTGCAGGGGCCCCATCATTTTTGCACACACACACACACACACACACACACGTCTGTAGGTGCGTGTGTCCATAGTTCCTGTAAACCACTTCTTTCCCCCTCCCCTCCCCTCTCTCTTTTTTACCCCTTTGTCCTTTTCTGCCCCACTTACTCTTGTCCTCTCTCCCCTCTCTCTTCCTTTTCCTTTTTCTCTCTCTTTCCACAACCCTTATGTGTCTTCTCAGACACACGTCTTATTGCTGATTTTTCTGAAGAGCTCTAATACAGATTTTGGTTATTTAGTATCAAGTAACATAGACTTAAGTACATATTACACAAATAATGTTTTATAATGATCTATAAGATCAATGTCTGATTATTGTATTTAATGTGTTTGAGTCCCCCATAATACAGAAAGATCTTCAACTTACTTCTGTTAGTTTGGAGCAGGCATCCATTAATAAAATGGTCACTAATTTCTCCTAAAACCAGAGACATTAAGGGAACAGTGGCTCCATTTACTATGGATGCTAGTATTCCCAGGGTCATGAGGGCAATGTCCACATTGTCAGCAAAGCGGAACTGAGAAAACAAAGCATGGAAATGTTGCTGTTGTAAAACTCAAGCAAAACTGCCAACCTGTAGCTCTTTCCACAAAGCAAATGTTATCTAACGAACTGATTATGAGATTAAAACAATCATAAAACCATGGGCATGCCTTTATCTATTCAGTAAAAAGGAAACAAACAAGCACCCAGTCTTAGCTCTTAAAGATTCACAGCAAGGTTTGAGGAGGGGCTGAAAAACAAATCAGCCCAAACAACACAAACTATACGAAAACATTCGTCAGATCCATGTAGGCATGATTCTGAAGCTTCTATTTGGAATGAATTAATATAAAGAGCTTGATGAAAAGACAATCAACAAATTTTCATTCATCAACATTGTTGCACTGCCATCACTAACTGTAAATATCCTGCTGGTAAAAATGTGATGAATTATATTTTTAAAGTTCCTTACATTAAATTTGCCCCCAAACAATGCCTCTCTTGTAAATGAGGGACAATAATGATTTACAGGGATGTTTGTAGTAAGACAGAGGCCTGAAAGCCAAACATTGAAAGCTCTATCTTGTAACAAGTCCCCACAACACCAATCTAAAACCAAACTGCTTATGCCCAGGGAGGAAGATTCGAATGTAAAGTATGCCGAACTGCATTAGATTTGAATAGCACTAGGCAGGATTAGTACATGTTGTGTGTATGCAAACTATTTTTTGTTCACTCATTGCGATAGCTCAGCAGTAATTATGAAGTAACTACCATAGCATTTTTCAGCACTACATATGATAAATAGGTGTCTGCTCCCATGGCTTTCACCAGCGTAGTGTGCTATTTCATTTTTTAGATTAAAAATTTTGAGAATTTCATATATGGATATATTTCATTTATGTAACTCTTTTCCCTTTCTCTCCCCTCTCCAAGGTGTCTCATGTCACCCCAAGTCCCTCTTGAATTCATAATCTCTTCTATAATTATTATTGTTACACACATACATACATAGTCACACATGCATGCTCACATGCATAAACACCCCACCCACACCCACACCATACACTACTAAATCTATTAATGTTGTCCACATGTGCATGTGTTTGGGAGGGGGATGTTGTCTTGTTGATAAAGTTATGCACATTTTGATATTCCTAGGTTTTTAACTTTTGAAGTAGTCAGAAGTTGTTTCATGTGTGTTTTGCTGTGAAGATAATTTTGGTTGTCAATTTGAAACACCTGGGAAGAGAAAATCTCAACTAAAGAACTGCCTCCATCGGCATGTCCTGCAGGCATGCCTGTGAGGGTATTTGCTTGGTTGCTAATTAATGCAGGAGGGCCCAGTCAACCGTGGGTACTACCATCCCTAGGCAGGTGGGCCTGGGTTATTAAATAAGTTATATGAACATGAGTCTGAGAATGAACCTCCCTGGTTTCTATTTCAAGCTTCTGCCTTGAGCTCCTGCCCTGGCTTCCCTTGATGATGACTATACATATGGATCGAAATAAACTCTTTCCTCTCCAAGTTGTTTTTGGTCATGACATTTATCACATCGACAGAAACCAAGCTATAACAGTGGCTATGTTACTGACAACTAAGTGAAGACATTAGTGTTGAGGGGTGGATCTCTAGGAAGATATGCATGACAGGTTCTATTGCTGTTGAAAGGGAAAAATCAGTAGCCATCTTGAGAGATGCTGCCTCCTCCCCTCCTCCAAAGGTATTTGCTGACCAGCAGTTTTAGAAGTGACCAGAAGTTGAACTTATAAGGCTGGGACAATAAATCTATGTATCCTGGACTTGGCAAAACAAGATATGGGGAGTAATGGGCTCAACTAACCAGAAGTTGAACTCAGAAGGACTGGAACAATAAATCTGAATGTATATATCCTGGGTTCAACAAAAGCAGGATATATGGAGTAAAAAATTATGTCTCTAAGATACCCTGAATCCTGTTAGCCATCAGTAACCTCATGCTTATAGTTCAGCCAATAACTTCAAAGAACTCTCTCAACCCTAGTCCCCTCATCCAATCCCAAGCTGCATGTAAACCTTTCCTACATAAACCCCTTAAAGTGAGTGCTCGGGCAGTCTTCCTCCATCCGCTGTGTCAGATGTTGGACATGAGGATCAAGCCCCAGCCTTGCTTGTTTTGTTATTAAAAAACCTTTGTGTGCTTGCATTGGATATTGGCTCTGTGGTGGTCTTGCTTGGGGGTCTTGTGACCTGGGCACAACACTGTGAAGAAACATGATGACCCTGGCAACTCTTATAAAGGAAACCATTTAATGGGGATTGGCTTAACGTTTCAGAGGTTTAGTTCATTATCATCATGGCAGGAAGCATGGGTGGTGTACAGGCAGACATGGTGCTGGAGAAGGAGCTGAGAGTTCAACATATTGATCCACAAGCAGCAGGAGACTGTTGCACTGGTTGTAGCTTGAGCATATATGAGACCTCAAAGCCCACATCCACAGTGACACACTTCCACTAACAAGGCGACACCTACTCCAACAGGGCCACACCTCTGAATGGGCCAAGCATTCAAACACAAGTCTGTGGGGGCCATACCTATTCAAACCACCACTACAGTGTTCTTTGGATATAACTCCAAATATATGTGTTGGTATGTTTCCTGACAGACAGGATTTACATAACAATTATTTAAAAGCTCTTTGTACCAGCTTTACTTTTGTGCGTCCTATAACTCAAGTATGTGGAATTCAGTAGTAGGATTTAGTATCAAGTTCTGGAGGGAAACTGAGAGCAATGCCAATGTCCTGTAATGCTTGGGGAAGGTTTGTGGGACTCCAATGACCAATAATATGAAAAGAAGCACCAAATTCCAGGCACTGGGCTTTTTATTTGATAGCCTATGCCACCCTGGGGAGGCATTGTCCCCATATTGTAGGGTAACTCAATTTAAACACTTTTTTTTATAAACACACATTATATATACACACACACACATATGTACAGACACACACACATATGTACAGACACACACACATATGTACAGACACACACACACACGCTTCTACAATAGTAAGTTTCCATATGGTGTTTTCAAAAGCCTTTAGTGTTACGTTATCCCTTCTCAATATTTTTTCTTCTACCCTGTCCTCTCATCCACCTACCCCACTTAATGCTTTTTACTCTATTGAAAGCTTCATCATGTCTGACTAGCTTTCAGAGTGCTAGCATGTGCAATTCCAGCTACTGGGGGAGAAAAATAATCAACAGTCTCACCCCACTGTAAACCCTGTGAGCTTCAATAACAACTGGCTTGGCAAGATATGTCTTACGGTGCATTAATGGCACAAACATTGACGTAACCAGCCACTTTCTGATTGGATTTAAGGCCTGCTCTACAAGATGTAGCTCATGCCTGATATTGTCAACTGAGCAAAATCCAATGGCTTGGTAGGTTGCAGACTCTAGAACTATAGGTTGCAGAACTATAAGGAACCCCTTTCTATTTCCCCATTTTTTTTTTCCACACAGAGGCTGTAAATTACCAAATGTGAACATCCCATGTACTATTGTCAATTCCTACAATTTCTTTCTTTCTTTTTTTTTGGTTTTTCGAGACAGGGTTTCTCTGTGTAGCTTTGGAGCCTGTCCTGGTACTTGCTCTGTAGATCTCGAACTGACAGAGATCCGCCTGCCTCTGCCTCCCAGAGTGCTGTGATTAAAGGCATGCATAACCACTGCCTGGCTAATTCCCACCATTTCTAACGCATACACTTGTGTCCTGGTTTTGCTTACTATCTCAATAGGTCCAACAGCTCGATTTCCTGCTTTCGGCAGTTGTTCTTGCGGAGGTCTGAAAAATAAATATGAGATGGAGAAGGTATAGTATGAACATAATTTGCAAAATTCTCCAGTTAACATTTTGCCAATATTAACAAAGTGCGAAATATTACCTTTGGCAGCAAATTTATACATATTGTTAAATTTCAAAAGCAGATTTAATGACAGGGAGTGCAAATTTTTTAAAGAAAAGTCACTGGATATGGGCAGTGGTTCTCTGTATAGAAATGAATACATCTGGAGTGAAAATGTTTACATTGTGTTAAAATATGCACAGTGTATGCCAACATTGTAACCATTTTAAGTGACAATGAGGGCACCGAAGGCACCCTTCACACCATCCACAGAATTCTGTTATTCTGCAATACTGATTCCTCGTACCTTGAACACCTTCCTTGTCCTGTTCCCTCAGCCACAATTCTGCTTCTTGTCTCCACGAACCTGACAACCCTAGATGTCTCATCCAAGTGAAATCATACAATGCTTTCCCTTTTGTGATTGGCATAAAGTCTCCAAGGCTCATTTTGGAATTACTCACTAGCAGGATAGCTTTGAGTTTCCTCCATGTTGCAGCTTATCAGAATTTTCCATACCCCATAGTAAGGCAGATTGCTATTCTCGCTGTCCCTGTCCCATTACCTTTTTGAATCAGTCAGCACACACTAGGATTTTTTTCCACACTTTGGACTTTGCTAACAATGCTTCCATGACTATGAACATACACCCTGCTTTCAAACTTTTGGGTGTGTGCCCAGAAACAGAGTTGCTAAATCATATACCAATCATGTTTTTAATTAAATGATTTTATTTATTTATTTATTTATTTATTTATTTATTTATTTACTGTGTGTGTGTGTGTGTGTGTGTGTGTGTGTGTGTGTGTGTGTGTGTGTTTGTGTGCGTGCGCGCGCACCACAGCACATGGATGGAGGACAGAGGATAACTTTTGGGAGTTCTCTCCTTCTACTGTAGGATCCAGGGATTGAACTGAGGGCACCAGTTTTGCCCAGCACGCAGTTTTACCCACTGAGACACTGCTCTAGCCCTGTTTTTAAATTTTTGAGGAAGGCTGTGTAGTTTCCAGAATGTTCCTAAAAACAGCACACGAGGAGGCTGCTGCTTCACACCACTTGTCCTTGTTTCCTTTAAGACAGTAGCATCCTAAGCGTGAAGTGGCGAATTTAAAAAAAATTAAAATCCAGCCTTCTCTAATACAATGTCGCAGAGTCGTTGTGATCTTCACAAGAACTGAGTTCTGTTGGGTGCATTGCGTGGGATACTCTGAATTTCGTCCTCCCTTTGAAAGTATCTTAGCTCACATTTGGAGGACACCCGACTGCAACACGTGACTTTTGGACATTGACTTCCTATCAAACATGCACAATTCTGAAACACGTAACACATTTAAAGAAGGGAACAGAGTAAGTGGTCTCAAAGGTGCCCTTCCATGTCTTCTCTCCAGCTTTGAAACGTACTGTTCTGTCAGCCTTCATGGATGACAAGCTGTGCAGTTTTTTGTCACTGTGATGAATTTCTGTGTCCTTCTCCTGCCGCAGGTTAATGGTTAATTTATGTACAGGCCAGTGTCCAGGAGGAGGCACAGACGAAACAACCAAACAAAACCCCAGTGCTTTGAAACGGTAAAGCCCTTTCCCCACGGCTGACTTCAGCTTCTGTCACTTGATTAAATTTCATCCGAGGAAGAGCATTTCCTTCCCCCTGACCTTCCCAGGTTTACGTCAGTTTACGACAGTTTCCTCTGCCTCAGGCTGGCTCCCCGCTCAGCGGCTGCCAAGGTGCAGGTGCAGAGGTTGGGCACCTTCGGGGGCACAGCTCACAGGCCCCGTGTGCTCTCTGCTTGGCTGCAAGCTGAAGTAAGTCAGTGATTCAGTAATTAACTTTATTTGGCCCAAAGCACCCACATTTCTGTTCCTATCGTCAACTGAGCCATGCCTACCTCGTCAGAATCTTGCTCAGATTTTGAGGCCAGAGCCAACCCCCTTATTCCAGGAATCCCGCTTTTCAAAATCACCCAACCCAACCTTTAATCCTTGCCACGGGCTGTTTTCTTGGATCCTCTTCAGTCTTGTCTCCTCTAAGTGAAGTCAGCTGTGAAGTTGCAGTTACGCCCGGTAACCAGCAAAATTGCCACTTCTCTAGTTTTTCCGAGGTGGTGAACGTTTGCCATTGTGTTCCCACTGGCCTACTCGCTTCTGTGGTCTATGGCTGTATATGAAGAATCCCACAAGGTCAGTGGTGCTGTGACCATTTTAAAGATGAGTGAACTGAACCACAAAATACACAATCCTAGTTTACATAGCTAGGGATTGAACTTGGCTATGAATCCCAAGCTTGAGTTTTCATCTACAAAGTCATGATGCTGATGAAATGTGAGCAGAAGGTAAGATTTATTTGGTCCACAGGTGATGCTGAAGTGCTCAAATGAAATCTAAAACAAATTTGTCTCCTCATCACCCCCTCTTGTCATCATCTATGTTGTAGAAATTAAGGAACATTCAGTTTACAAGAAAGCAGCTCAACAAGATGGGAAATTAACACAGAACAAAAAATTAAAGGCATATGTGTGTGGGATGCAACTCTTTTGGCTTTCAAAGTGCTCCCAATACTTATTTTTTATGTTTTAAATAATAGCCATTAATTCAACCATTGTGAAAAATAGTGTGGGGTGTCTTTAAAAAATGCAAATAAGGCCCGGCATGGTGGCTTATGTCTTTAATGCCAGCATTCAGGAAGCAGAGGCAGGCAGATCTCTCTGAATTCCAGGTCAACCTGGTCTACATAGTGAGTTTCAGGACAGCCCACGGCTACATAGAGAGACCCTGTCTCAAAAATCAAAACAAAACAATAACAAAACTACAAATAATAGCTGGGCTGGAGAGATTGATCAGTGGTTGGAAGCATGAACCATTCTTCCAGAGGATCAGAGTCGTTTCCAGCACCCACATTGGGTGGCTTACAGCCACGTGTGACTCCAGCTCCAAGGGATCTGACCTCTGTCACCTCCACAGGACACCCGCACACACGCAGACATATACTCATACACATAATTGAAAATAATAAATATAAAACACCCCATTAAAATAGAATAACTACAAGTATGTCTTGAAAGGAATTACAATCAGTATGTCAAAGAGTTGTCTGCACATCCATGTTTAGTGCATGAGTATTGATACTAGTAAAAACCAAAATGCCCACCAGTGGATAGATAACAAATATGTGGCGTAGATACACAGTACAATAATAGCCAGCCTTCTTATTTTATGTCTATTTATTTATATTTTAAATATTCATTTAATGTGTATGCATGTCTTGCCTGTATGTGTATCATTTGTAGTGCATGAGTCCATAGAGGTCAGAAAAAAAATAAGATTCCCTTGTACTGGATTTATGAATGGTTATAAATCATCAGGTGGGTACTGGAAACCAAACCTGGGTCCTTAACAAGAGTAGTAAGTGCTCTTAACTGCTAAACCACCATTCCTTATTCCTTATTTTTTTTTAAAGTTAAATTTTTAGTTTTTAAGTGTGTGTTTGAATATACATGTGTGTGCAGTTTCTCATGGAGGTGTGAAGTGGGTGTTGGATCCCCTGGAACTGGGGTTACAGGCAGTTGTGAACTATGCTGTGTGGATGCTGGAAATCCGACTTGGGTCCCCTGAAAGAGCAGTACACACTAACTCATCTCTGTCTCTGTCTCTCCCTCTGTCTGTCTGTCTCTGTCTGAGTCTCTTTCTCTCTGTCTCTGTCCCTCTCTTTTGAGATAGAGGTTTACTCTGTAGCCCAGGTTGGCCTTCAGACCCTCCTACCTCAGCCTTCCTAGTATTAGGAGTACAGACATGTCCCATTCCTCTCAGTATTTAAAGGGTTTATACACATATGAAAACATGTATGAATCTAGAGGGCACTATACCAAGTAAAAAAGCACAGAAGACAAATATTGCATGGTCTCATTGTTATGTGAAATGAAAGTTACACTCATTGTGATAGAGTAGGCTGAGTAGGGTAGGTGGTGACTGAGTGTTGAAATTGCTAAAATGGTGGGAGATTCTTTTCTGGATATTTTGTGTTAACAAACCATGTGAGCTAGGGAATTGCTCTTCAGTTATACAAAACATGTATCCAGATATAACCTGTAGTTATGGTAAAAGTGAAAATAGAACTTAAAGTTCTTTCTATTTTGTATTTCTACTGAAATGCATTCTGGGTATAGAAAACAGTATACTCTACATAGGCACAAAGACATCTATTTAGTGAAAATGAATGTACCACATGGAATCAAGGGTCCATCAATGCTGAAAGGAAATTATGCAGCCATCTTTACTGTGTCTTCTGCCACAAGGAATTCAAAAGAGGTGCTATCTGAAGTCCTAACCTAACAATTCCTGTCGCAATTCCCTATCCTGAAACCAATGTGGAAGCAGTTGTAATAAATTAGTGGTGATAACACTTGTATTAAAGTACAGCAAAATGCAAACAGTGTGAATTTTGAAAAAGAATAGTTTTTTTTTTGTGACAGCTGTGAAAGGGATAATGTATGTTTGAAATTTAAGGAAAAATTGTAGACTTTAATGGAAGCTTACCCATATCTCTGATTACTTTCTTGCATCCCTTCAGCTCTTTCAGAATGTGCCATATTATTTATAATTTGATCTTCTGAAATAAAATAATAATAATTTTAATAATAGCATGAGTAGATGAAAATTTTCACTTGATTGGCATACAATGGCATTCTGCATCTTTAACAGTCTGCCAAAGCAAGCTGCCAAAATTCACACTGCCCGGCCTTCCCTTCTGTATGAAGCTTCTGCTTAGGCAGTTGATCTTGTTTATATTTTGTCACGGAATTTGTGAATCCTTCACTTCATTCTTAGCTGAGAGTTGGAGTTAATGGAAATTTTAGAATTGGAATGAAACAAGGAAAGTAAAAATGGAAAATGTACTGTTGTGCAAATATTGGATTTCATTTCTATTCTGCCACTGATTTGATTTTAGGTGGGGAATCCTTGAAGCTACCTGATGTTTAGGTTCTCTATAAAATGTGGAATTTTTTTTGGTATCCAGCAGTCTAAGGAAGTAGTTTTCTGTTTCACCAACTACCAAGTTAGATATTCCACCATAGGTAGATTTATAGTAATAAAAATTAGAATATTTTGAAAACCTATTCATCATTAGACCTGCATTAAGCACAACATATTCTTCCACTGGGTGATACTTGCCTTAAGATCACCACTGTGTCCATAAATTACTATTTCACTACTGATGAAATATGCTCATGATCAGACTCATTTGTTAGGACATATAGATATCATCCTGTACTGAGATGATACTAAAGATATAGGTGTAACTTGTAAAGTGGAATTACCATTAATTAATTAAATGGTACCAAAGCATATGGCAGTGCTAATATGCTTTCAGATAGTGGGAATCTTAATGAATTATTGTGTCCTAATGAGTTAGAAAGGGATGCAGCACCAAGAAAGAGGTGTGAGACAAATGCAGTCATTCACAATAGTGAGTAAAATAGATACTGACACTTGCCATAGTGACTTTATAGTATCTCTAATTTAATATATACATAAGAAAAGTGATGAAACAAAAATCATAAAGTAGTTGGTAAATATCATTTATGTGTTATAAAACTAATTATTATTATAATAAAACCCACACATTCATAACAAGAAGTCATATTAAATCTTACCTTGGTAAGAGCATGATCCGTTGTCCATTTACACAAAACTCATGTGTGGCTTTCTCTTCAACAAATAACTTCTCTTTAGTGATTGTGCTTAGCCAACCTTGTATTCTGGTCAGACAGCTGTAATGTCTGATATAATCAGTGATGAATTTCCATGCAAAGAACATGGTGTTCTTCACACGACTTTGCTCTTGGAAACAACATGAGCAAAGAGAATCCACTGAGTGAAATGTTTACTCTTTGGAAACAATCTTCAATGACTGCACACCTAGTTTCTGTTGTTTGGTTCCGGAATACTTTTTAAAATAGCTGAATAAATAAATTTCTCTAGTACATCAGCAGCACATTGACAGAATAGGCATTAGTAACAGTCCCTGTGAGGCACCGATTATACTGCTTTATCACTGCTCCCTAGGATGTCCTGTGTTTGCTGTTGGTTCATATTTGTATTATGGTGGACAACATTTGACCTACCTTACAAATCTATTACCTTGCTATATTGTATGTCTTACTTATTCCTTTATAAATTACTTGCAAAATATGAGTTTCTATGATGAACCAGTTATTAGTTACAAGTATCCAAAAGATGTTTCTTTTTCAGAGAAGCTTACAATATCATCTTCCCCAACAATACAATAGTCTTATAACTCAGTGTGTCCCTGAATCAGCTGCTAGGTGTTATGGGAGACATTAATAGAAATGCAGAAATTTAAATCTTTTGGTTGTGTCAAAATATACATAATATAATCTTCACATTTTAAGCATTTTAAGTGCAGAGTTCAAGGTCAGTGACATCAGGTTCCTATGGAATGTTGTATAACCAGCATAACTAGCTATCTGAAAATGAGGCTTATCCTCCCCAAATGAATTGTGTATCCACTAAGTAATAACTCTTCCTCTGTCCAGTTTTTGATAAGCTCTACTATACCTTCGGCTTCCATGACTTTGCCTCTTTAAATCATCTCAAAGAAGGGGATCTGATTCTTTTTATGTTTGGCTTTTTTCACTTAGCGTGTTTCATGGTTCAGCTCTTTATCAGAATTGAATTCCCTTTGTGACTGAATTATTACTCTGTGTGCTTATTCCACCTCTGGGCTCTTATGAATAATACTGCTGTAGACATTTTCATTTAAGTTTCTATTTGAATGATCTTTCACTTTGCTTCATGAATCTGTAAACAGAATAGTTGGAACATATTTATGTTTTTGAAGATTTGCCATTCTTATTCTGGTGGAGATAGTGTCGCTTTACATGCGCAGAAGCAACACACAGATGTTCCCATTTCTTTATATCCTCATTGACACCTGTCATGCTTTGGTACTGGTAAATGTATTCCTAAAAGGTATGAAGTGTGGTCTCATTGTGTTTTTCATTTCCCTTCTAAATAGTGATTCTGAGGGACTGTCAAACACTTACTGGCCGTTGCATATATATTTTTTTTTTTTTGGAGAAATGCTTTTACTCCAACTTGGTTGACTGTTTTTAAAATTACAAAATGGTATTGAACTTTATTAAGTACTATTTCTGTATCAATTAATATAATTGTGTGTTTCTTGATCGTTAATGCTGTTTGTCACATTGTTTGGTTTCTATGTTGAAGTATGCTTATAACCTAGGCATTAAATTTCACTCATAGAATTTAACCATTTTCATATGTTGATTACATTTTGCTACTATTTTGGAGAATTTTTTTGCATAAGTACCGCATTAGCTTCTAATAGATGTAGCATAAATAAGTTATAAGGACAAAAGATATATACTTTCTTAAAATGTCAGAAGCTTCAGTCCATGATCAGTTGGCTGTGTTGATTTCAGTCCTGTGGAAAGGCAGAATGTTGGGGATGTATGATGTAGCAAAGTTACTTCTCATGGTTTTGAGGAAAGAGAGAGAGAGAAGAGGAGGCAACAAAGGGGTTGAGAGAAGGAATAGGGAAAGGGGAGGGAGGATGAAGGAGGATGAGGAGGATGAGGATGAGGAGGATGAGGATGAGGAGGATGAGGAGAATGAAGGAGGAGGAGGAGGAGGTTGGAGTCCCAGTGACCCCTTCAAGGTTATGAACTATTTGACCTTATTTACTTCCAATAATATGCAAGATGGTCCTTGACCCCCACCTTGGTGGTCACCAGGTCTTTGACACATGGCCTCTGGGGGAACTTCAGATCCAAGCTGTAGGAAGTATTCATAGGGAACATTGACCCATTTTGTTTTCTTGTGGTATTGCTGGTTTTGCTGTTAAAGGACAAATTAGGAAGTGTAACAGCTTCAATTTTTAGGACGAGTTCAAGCCTAGCCCGATCTACAGAGTTCTAGGCCAGCTTGGACTGCAGAGTGTGACCCCGTTTCAACTCCTACCCAAGACAACTAACTACCTGACTTCCTTCTACACACACACACACACACACACACACACACACACACACATGCACTTTTTCTCTTTGTGTAGAGAATCATGATTAATGATCTGGTAAGAGAGGAAGTTGTGTGTGAATAGTATAAAGAGTAACTAATCTAGCATCTGAGAATTCTGAGGAAGAACACCATGGCCTCAAATGCTTTCTTTCACTTGCAGATTAGGATGACCTGAGGTAAATTCTGTGAGGATGGCTATGACTGTTGCCAAGAAAAGATGCCCAGAGGAAGAACAGTGGCAGTTTCAGGAATGCACGGTGAACTGTCCCTCAGCAGAGAAATGAGTTCAGTCATTAGGTAGATAAAGTTGTTCTAGGCATTGAACCAAATCTTTATGGCAACTATTATAATTCTCTGAGAGCAGGAAGAAACTGGTTTTCTGTATATCATAGAATTAACCCCATGTTATAGTAGACCAGGACTTGGGCAAGACAGAGCCAGGCAGACTCAGTATGATTGAGTTTGTGGTGGCAAGATAGATATTTTGGAGCAAGACAGACTAAAGGAAGATTGGCAGGATATAAATTCACGGGAAGAGGAAAGAGTAAAAAATAAGAATTCAATAATTAAACTGTAGGAACTGGCATAAAAGGTGACAATGAGAGTCTGGAGAGAAGGATGGTTTTTGGTCATGGAAGGCAACTTTCAGCTAAACTGTACAAGCTGACTTAGCATGAGCATCAGTGTGAATCTATTTGGCTTACAAACTGAGATGTGGTAATCAAAAAGTGCCAATCTACAGATATACTCTTAATAGTTTTGTGTGTGGAAGAAATAATTGGATTTACTTTTATATTCTGATAAAATCATAGAGAAGAGATATATTATGGCTAAGTTTATCCCTCCTAGAGTCATCTATCTGTGCAATAGGATGTTCTGTAATCATGGAGGCAATTTGTAGACTTTCGGCCAGCTTGTGTAGATCTTGTCTGCTGGACCTAGGATCTGAGGATCTCTTTCTGGGGTGGACTACAGTCTAATGCTGTAGATAACCTTACTTCAGTTTTAGTGTACTTTTATACATGAGTAAAAGAGAGCAATGATCTAAGGAAGGTTGTTTGAGTTTAGTAAAAATATGATAAAAACATGTAAATAAGTGTCAGTAAGCACATACTAAATATTAACAGCTCTTTCCTAGAACTTTCTCAGAACAGACCTATTTAAACACAATACCTGGCATGTACTATAGATTATATGTGGGAAGGCATGAAAGCAAGGCAGAGGCCATACCCAGATTCAGGGTACACTGAAGATTGAGTTCTAGAGCTGTGTTGTAACATCCAACAAGAATAAACATGTCTTATAAATTGAATATTAATGTTTGTCACAGGAGGCATGAAATCACATCCAAGAACAATTCAGGGAGTAAATGCACCTGAGATAAAAGGCTCTCTGCTTTTTCCCCCTGGAACCTCTTTCACAGTTCCCCAAGACATTGTTCATCATGGGTCATTCATCTGACCGTATTCTGACATCAATTTTTGCCTCCTCCAGTATATAGCCACTGTGTGTGTGTGTGCCTATTAACCATGTGAAATGAATGCTGTTCAGGAGCAAGTGTCGAGTTCCTATTTAATCCATTATGCATGTATTTAGAGCAGCAATTCTCGATCTGTGGCTTATGACTCTTTTACAGGTGTCTCCTAAGAACATGGGAAAACACACATTTCCATTGGTCTTAGGAACTGAGACACTGCTCCTCTATCCATCTCTAGGCAGTTCTAGCCATATGCAGATATGCTTACATATGAGTACCCCATGTGATAACGTCATTGTGCTGGCCCTATCACATACACCCCAAACAAATACAGGTGTTTGTGACAGAGTTGGCACCATAATGTACTTATGTAGACTAGTCACACATGTGTAGAGAGCAGCTACTGTGTTGAGAGTAGCAATATTGGAAGGAAAAATGACACTTCATGAATTATAATTACTGGGTAAATGTAAAATCACGTACCATAAAACCACAACTACTGCAAATGTATATATCTGTACCATGGGAACTTAATCTGTATGCTGATCAATCTTTTTATATTCAGCTGTGGTTGATGTGAATACTGCCCCCTTGTGATAGTAACAGGTATGTAAAAAACAAAAAAACAAAATGACACAGAGATTGGTAAATCATAGAGAACTTAATGACTGTATTGACTGAACTATGCCATTTATCATCTTTTGTATTATAAAAACTATTGTTATATATTATTTTCATTGGAAAACCATTCCATGACAATGGGTCATGTAGAGAAGAATGTTAAGGAAAGAAAGTATAGTGAGGATTTTTTTTTACAGTATGGTTTTACCTCAATAATTCTAGCAGGAATTGAGAATTTGTTGTGAAGTTCTATCAGCTGAATCTATGAAGCTTAACAAACTAAAACATAATTTTGATAACAGCATTCAAGCTTTGCTGGCAAAGATACCAGCTATTTTAGAAGCAAAGCTGATGGACTCAAGAAAGCCAGACTTCACGCTGGTAGCAAGTACCACAAACAAGACCTAGCATCCATTGAAGCCTCACATTTGGAGGCACTCAGAATCACCAGGGCTATGAAACCTCACACCATTGCGGAGGATTTGCTGTTGTCAGTGGACAAAGACATTGTTCAAGTTATGATCAGAGACAGGTTTGTCACACACTAGAGTGTAATT